CTTAGTGTAGTCTACTTGTGTGCCAAGTTATATTGAAATCAGACCAAAACTGTAGAAGGAGTAGTGTTTTAAAGGAATTTCACAGAAAATTCTATTCTTAGTAACCAGGGCTACACCGTTGATCGAAATTAAAAACCGATGCACTATTCTTTGTATTTTAGTGTAATCTACCTGTGTGCCAAGTTATTTTGAAATCAGACCAAAACTGTAGAAGGAGTAGCGTTTTAAAGGAATTTCACAGAAAATTCTATTTTTATCAACCATGGCAACACCGTTCATCAAAATTAAGAACGGATGCACTATTCTATGTATCTTAGTGTAGTCTACTTGTGTGCCAAGTAATATTGAAATCAGATTAAAATTGTAGGAGGAGTAGCGTTTTGAAAAATTGTTTACAGACAGACGGACAGACAGACAGACAGACGGACGGACGCATTACTATCGCATAAGCTTTTCTGGTTTCTGACCAGTAGAGCTAAAAATAAACATTTAAACTAGAACTGTCCAAACGGGACAAAATACCCCCCGCTGGGTTTTTCAGAGGTACGTTTTTCCATAATAAAGATATGTATCAAACAAAAATTATGAAATTTTTCACAGTGACCTTGAACTTCCCCAAATGACCTTGGGTCAAGGTCACGAGACACCCTTGCATCATGGGTAATCTTGGTGTGAAATGATAACCTACCAAGTTTATCCATAAAAAATATGTACCAAACATGAATTTTGAAATTTTTCTTCCAGTGACCTTGAACTTCCCCAAATGACCTTGGGTTTAGATCATGACACACCCTTGGGTCATGGGCAATCTTTGTGTGAAATGAGAACCTACCAAGTTTATCGATAAGAAAAATATGGACCGGACACGAATTATGAAATTTTTCTTCCAGTGACCTTGAACTTCCCCAAATGACCTTGGGTCAAGGTCATGACACACCCTTGGGTCATGGGCAATCTTAGTGTGGAGTAGTAGATTCTAATGTCCCTCTGTAAGAAAAATATGGACCGGACACGATTGCACAGACAGACGGACAGACGGACAGACGGACAGACAGACAGACGGACAGACGGACAGACAGACAGACGGACAGAAGGACAGACAGACAGACGGACAAGGTGATTCCTATATACCCCCCAAACTTCGTTTGCGGGGGGTATAAAAATCCTTCGAATATGTTAACTTTTGAAAATTAACTTTGCGGTAGGCAGAAGAACGATATGTATTCAAATATTGTATTATATTATTCTATTATTATATATTATATTAATCTTTGATCAAATATTCAGAGATTATATTATAATATTAAATATTATGCAAACGTTAATTTAAGAGCTATATCTCAACGTAAAAGATTCCAGTCATTGGTTCATATTTCTCTTCATTTTGAATTAATTTCTTTGCCTATACAGAAAATTCTTATAGGAGTGAGCTTCCTCTGTCTACCTTTTACACCCACTGTGTGCTCCTTGTCTTGAACGGGAAATATACCGGGAAAAATCCATCGATGTGTAAAAAATGGCCAAACAATTACTATGAAAAAAGTCAGTCAGCATTTGACTCCATAATAAATTGTATTTGCTGACAAGACTTTTGATATTCTTGTTTCAGCAACTTGTTTGTCAATAATTTAATACGTATTAAAAACTTCTGTATTTTGAAGTAGGTGTAGATCCAACATTTTATTTTTGTTTTACTGATAATATTTCAGGAATTGTTTGCAATACGATTGCACTCTAGTAAACTATGAGAAAGAATTGACTAAAAAACATTATAGAATGGTTAGCACGTTGGTGTATATATACACTATTCCTAAGACGACCCCCCAAAAGATTCAACATTTTCTGCAATATGCTTTCTCTTTCTGAAGAGTGCATATACATTAGATCATTTTTGTTACATGCGTATTTACTGATCAGCCCTTACTATTTCACTTCTAACAAAGTGAAATAGTAGGGAATGGCTTAAGTCAGACTGTTTTATTGATAATCTCATATGTTAAGAAACAGACAACGGACTAGAAAAACTTAACATGTACCGACAACGGACGTTTTGCTTATAAATTGCGATTTCTTAAAGCCCGCTCTCAAGAATAGGCTGTCAGTTGCCTAACAAATGTAAAATGAAGTTTTTCTTCATATTTCAAAATAAAAGGACCAAATTGATAAATTTCACGTAAGCAATATTAAATTTTCAGGCTGACGATCATGACTTTACACATGGGCATGTGATTGCCAACGCAAACTCCTCTTATATTACTTCATGTTAACGGCTGAAATTCATACAACACCAAAAGGGGTGTCAGTCCTGTTCCCCATTGCAATTTCAGACATTGGTGGAAATTATTTAACTTAAAAATTGAAAAACTACCCACGACCTGTCTTCTCAAGTAATGACACCGGACAGTTTTTGTCATAACCTTACCTGTATTTTCATGACAACGAGCCGATTTCAATGCTTAACTTTAAAGGTTTCTGACAACGGTACTGTCTTGGAACTTAACGTGTTCCTGGCCGTGATTCTGAATAAATCTGCAGTGCATGTAAAGCCTACTCAAAAAGAAGATTGGGAAAAGAAAGTTTCATGCATTACTTCTTTAGTTTCTAATTCTTCTTTGTTTTCTAATTTGCAGGAAGAAGCTGGCAGAACTATTCTTGAGATTTTATCATCTAAGTAAATGAATATCTTGTTTTCAGAAACAGATGAGATGTGAAATGCTGAGACGTCATTTTCCAACGCGGGGGAGTATGTAATAGAGTGAAATTTTACATGTTTTTAATGAATTTATTTTTCAGGTATTTTCTTTGATTTTATGATCATTTTCAGAGTTTAAATTGAAATATTTAAATAAAGATTTATTTCATTCAAACTATAAATTAAAATATGTGTTTTGTTATTTTATCATTTATGAAGTCTTACAGGTAAAGTATTTAGTTATCTTTTGGGTTTACCTGTAGATTTGTAGTTATTTATAGATCTGGTTAGATAGTGGTCATTCTGGATTGGTCAGGTGATTTTAGGAGGGAATTCTTTTCTTGTTTTTCATGCCCAAGCGTTCTGATGGGTGTGTATGTTCTGAGACATTTTTAAAAGTTTTGGTTTGATCAGTACTTGATATTCCTAGTTTGAAATAAGTATGGACTGAGATTATTCCATTACCAGGTTAGTGTTTAGTTTAGGTTTTCACATTTCTTTATTTTCCCTACTTTATCTACTTTGTGTGAATGTTTGAATGTTAGACTGAGTATGCTAGGGAGTGAATGTCTTGTGTGAGATTTGTGTGAAAGCTGTAAATAAATTATGTAAATATAACAGCATTAAATAGAGTTTATTTTATTTCTAAATAATTTGCTAAAATTAGAATGGAGAAAATGAGTGTTTTTAAGTTATAAAGTTTTGAAGTAAACAAATTCCTAAAGTATTCATTTTTCTAAATAATTCCCTACATTGAGCAGTATATCATTTTCTTACATTTAGAACACGTACCATATTATTGAGACAGCTGAGTTTTGTATATATACTGTAGCAGACCTTTGCACCTCATGGGAGGTAAGGTTAACTGTGTGTTGATATAAAAATGAACACAGCATCATTTTTAAATATTGATGAATCATAAGCAATTTTTGAAAGTATTTAAACTCATTTTTCTTTATTTGTTCAATTCATGTAATTTGAGAGTTTTGCATGAGGTTATCTGTTATTTGAAATTTACCTAGTTTGTGTTCATCAGAAACTACAAATATTCTAAGCTTATTAATAATGAGTTTATGACAAACATTGTTGTTAAAAAGGATAATAGTTTACATTGGAAATTTTGGTTTTATTTTATGTTAAAACTGCTTTGCTTGTGAAAATTTGCATGCAGAGTTATTGTTCTTGTATTTATAATTTTAATACGTAATTACAGGGTCATCTATCTTTACCATACATCTATAATGGGCAAGATTGCACCATCACAATAAACCCACGTATTTAACCAGATGGAATGTGTTTTGTTGTGTATTTCCACCCGGTTTCAGAGATATCGCGTGGAAATTAAAGAGTTACAGGCAGACAGAACTGACAGACAGACAGACAGCTAGAAAGACGGACAGAGAGACCAAAACTAATATCCCCACTTTCAGCAGGGGACAATAAACAGTCCTGCCACAAGGGACAGTCTAAGGATTATTTTTTCTATGGTGTGAAGCTAAAGGGGTCAAAGCTTACTGTACAAAGTAAAATTACGTCAAGATAATTCAGTGGCAACTCAATCAATGCAAACTATCACCTACACACATCAGCAAATGTATTCAATGTTAATGACATTTCAAAATTAAAATATTTTGCACACCTTTTCATTTACACAGCTGCTAATGCAAACATTATGTTCAAACTTTAAATCTGTCAAAACAAATAAACACTTTTGAATTTCATTACAGTGGCAATTGATTAATATTTAGAATAAGTTTCCAAAACAGTTTATATCATTAATTAAAAAACTTAAAGCTTCTCCATTTTCACTAAAGGGCAATAACCATGTTTGATCTCCGTCATACTTGATTGTATATACTTTCTGTACACAGGCACCTGACGTTACTTATTTTTCTTTAAATAATAAAATATACCCTTACCTAATTAGGTAAGGGTATATTTTTTTTATTTAAAGAAAAATAAGTAACGTCAGGTGCCTGTGTTTCTGTATATTTCATACTTAGAAATTCTGCACCCTATCTGCTTGAAGTACCTTATAGATGGTGAAATCCAATTAAAAACTAAAAATGTACTTTTACAAGTCAGCAATGAAAGACGGGACAACTTTTTCTTTTAACCTAGAAGGACTTCATGCAGAGAGTACAAAAGTAATTGATCAACAAATTCCTGGAGCACTAATCACAAATAATAGACAACATTCTCATGTATTTATCATCACTTTAATAATATTTCATAATAACAAAACAATATCTTAAGATGTAAAATACAACACTGACTGAATCATTTACATTCTTAAAGAAAAAGAACAAATATGCAATAAAGCAATGATGCCATATACTGTATAAACTATTGTACATTGTACATGTAATTTTATGCCATGGTATATATAAATAATACAATATTATATGAAAAATGAAGACCTGTTGTTTCTTGGGTAATGTAAAAAAAAAAGTTAATCTTAAAAAAAATAATTAGAAATAGCTGAGTGGCAGTTTTCTATGAAAGGTTGATTTTTTAAAACTAAACTATAAATTACATTGTGTTACTTTAAGGTCAAAGGAGAAATTAGTGTCAGTAATCTCTGGCTGCTTATATCTGTTTGTGAAGTTATTTGAATGAATTCAAGGAATCTAAAATAAATTTTGAATTAGAAAAAAAAAAAGATGTATGATGATTAAAATGGTAAAATTCTGGACGCTGTTCAGTGTTGGGATGCTATAAACAGTATCAACGGTATCAACAATCAGTTTGAAGTAAATCACGCAATTACTTTAAATGGTTTCTTTGAGAGAGAGTAAAACATAGAATGGGATGGACTGACTGGTTTGGGGTTGGAGGTGGGGGCGGGTGATGTTGGAGGGGAATCAAAAAACACCTTTCCTGGCAGTAATATACATGGCAAAGCATGGAAATGTTACATGTAATAATAAAACATAATCCTTATATTTATGAAATATAAGATCCAAAAAAAAAACATAGGTAATCAGAGATTACAGAGCTCACCTCAACGAATGTTGTCTTTAAGTAAGGCAAAGTCACACAATTAACCAACAAAAAGTGCACATTCCAAAAATGAAAATATTTAAGCAATTTTAATCTGATACTTTGAAATAGACCTACATAAAAAATTTAAACTAGTTCTTCTTCATGAAAATGTAATCAAAATCCAGCATCTGAAGCAAATTTGAGATTTTTCATCTCTTGATGCAACATTTGTGCAAGTTTGGTTTATACAATGTTATATAAGCCTTATAGTTTTTTGGTAATAGACCTGCACCCATAACTTTTACCTGGTCTATTATCTGAAAAATGTACGTCGAATTCAGCATCCGAAGCAAGTCCATTAGTGTGCATCCTAAGATGTATCATCCGTGCAAGTTTGGTCATTAAAGAACTCATAGTTACTTGGAAATGAATCACTCATGAAAAACTTTAACCCATTCACTCAACCAGAAAATGTAGGTCAGATTCAGCATCCGAAGCAAGCCTGGTAGTATGCATCCTTAGATGTATCATCCATGCAAGTTTGGTCAACATAGGGCTTATAGTTACTTGGAAATGAAACCTACACCAAAAACTTCAACCTGTTCACTCAACCGGAAAATGTAGGTCAGATTCAGCATCCGAAGCAAGCCTGGTAGTATGCATCCTTAGATGTATCATCCATGCAAGTTTGGTCAACATAGGGCTTATAGTTACTTGGAAATAAAACCTGCACCAAAAACTTTAACCTGTTCACTCAACCGGAAAATGTAGGTCAGATTCAGCATCCGAAGCAAGCCTGGTAGTATGCATCCTTAGATGTATCATCCATGCAAGTTTGGTCAACAAAGGGCTTATAGTTACTTGGAAATGAAACCTACACCAAAAACTTTAACCTGTTCACTCAACCGGAAAATGTAGGTCAGATTCAGCATCCGAAGCAAGCCCGGTAGTATGCATCCTTAGATGTACCATCCATGCAAGTTTGGTCAACATAGGGCTTATAGTTACTTGGAAATGAAACCCACACCAAAAACTGCACCAAAAATGTTAACCTGCTCCAAAAACATTAACCTGGTCATTTCTTTGCTGAAATTGCAGCATCTGAAACTTTGACTGGTACAATGAAACACACTAGAACCATCTTCCATGCATGTCTAATCAATATAGGACATAGAAGTACTTAAAAAGAAAACTGCTCCAAAAAACTTAACCTGGGACGCCAACGCCGACACCGACACCGACGCCGAGGGTATTACATAAGCTCCCCCAACTTCGTTGAGGTGAGCTAAAAAATGTTAAAATCAACCATTTATACAAATATAACATAATTTATAACAATAGGATTTCTGCAAAATACAAAAAAATTAGTTTTTTCTTACTTTCATCTGTACATGTTGTACTACCAACTTTTGACACCATATTATTGATTTTTTGTAATAAATAAACAAGATGCCTATGAGCCTTGACAGTCACCTGAGTATCAAGCAAATAGTGTTACATATACCTATATCTTATTTTCACATACTATCTTCACCTTTATTTCTAACACAAATGACACCTAGTAAGCAAAAAGCCCAATGATGAATATGAAAATGCAAAAATTGCTGAATATCTGGTAAGAACAATTTAAGTTAGGTAATGCATTTATGCATTTTTCAACCCCCCCCCCCTAAAAAAATTGCAAAAAAATTTACAGATTCAACTAGAGGGAGCTTTAACATATGCTTTTTTCTCTATAATTTTAAATGCACAAACTTATTTCTTGATTAAAAATGTTGACTAGTTTCAGAAAAGAACCTAAAACACACGTTTAAAAGTTTCCAAATAATCGCACATGAACTATTGAATCATTTCAAACTGAAGTGACAAAAACAAATAGCAATAGGTCACCTGAGTGTCCCAGGTAACTAACAAAATAAGCACTTTAGATTTTTTTAAAATATTCATCACATATATGGCACATTCTTAAAAACTGCGCATAAAATGTTGAATGCACAATTTTTGTTTAATTTTATATAAGAACAGAAATGTTTTGCCCTAAGCTTGGTTTTACTGTTGAACTAAAATAATATTGCAACCGTATACACTTGGGATGCAATACCAAAATTAATTTATAACTACAATCTTCTAGATTCCTTCTTGAAAGACATAAACAAGCTATTTTCCAACATGTACAATACCCCAAAATCCTTCTCTCCGGGTAATTTAGTCTGTTTAAGAGTTATTTCCCTTGGCTTTGGGTGACCTAGATTGATCCCCAGCTTGGCTTGTAGTCAATGAAATTGAAACTACACTACTGCTGGTTGGCATACTGCTTTTAATGTCAGTAGATTCCGCCTCTGTTGTCATTTCTCTGGAGAAAGAGATAGATGTCTTGTGAAAAACTTCTGTGTGCTTTTTCAGGTCCGAGGATATAGGGAATGTTTGACCACAATAACCACACACATAGGGTCGCTCCTGAAAAATATCAAGTCAAGGATTAATGCTAATTAAACAGTCGGGAAACTTTGCATGGTCATACTGTTGATTAAACTGGATACCATTCTGGCAGTAAATACATGATGTAGTATGTAATACCTGTAATTCATATTTAACAACACTTAAAATGTGTTAAGTTCCAAGATTCTAGATGGCTATTCTCAACAGACTTTTCAATGCCTAAAACTAAAATTACAACTATATCTTTTAAAAGAATTTTTTTTTTTAAATGAGTTTAAATCCCAGAGAGTTTACACTGTAGGTTATATGAATGTTTGAATATGTGAAACTTGTTTTAGTATGATGTAATTAGATGCATTATACAGATGAACTACTTTATATGAGATTATCAGTGTCTACCTGTGCATGGGACAATAGGTGCGTCTTGAGGGACTGACTGTTGGTAAATCCAGCATCACAGTATTCACACACATAGGGTCTGATCTCCGCATGGCTGACAAGGTGGGCCTACAATTAAGAAAAGGAAATTATTCCATTAACTTCAGTGTACATAAAGTCATACTGGGAATTCTTAAGGTTTTCATTGTATGGCCATTGTCATATTTCATGTGGTTTAACACACAACACTCAGAGTGATATTTTAGCAAACTTCAATCTAAACACATTAAGAATTAAGGTCCTTACATCTACAGTTACTTGTATGGATTATATCAGATAAATACATGTATACATGTGTGTGTATTTATGTTTGTGTATGTGACGTTGCTTTCAGATCTTTCTATCTTGTCATTGTAAAAAAACCTTTATGCCTTCTGGGCCCAAAATTGGAAAATAAAATTATCTTATCTTATCTTATACTTGCATATTTGAGAATAACTGTAAAACTTCCAATGCCTTGTAAAAAAAAATTTTTTATTTATCATTTTCTATTCAAATCTTGCACACAGTAAATCCTCACCTTGAGATGGTCTAGATTGATGAATCCCCTTCTACATATCTCACAGAGATGTGGCATGTTAGGGGACGTCCCCCGCTCTGGGGGGTAGTCCCCCGGGCTGGAGCTTCTAATCTGACAGAAGTCACTGCTCTCATGCTTAATCTCTACTGTCACCTTATCATTGGAGGCTGCTCGACTTTTCTCATATTGAGACGGTCCCTGAAACTGTGCAGGACTCTGTGACCTTTCTGAGGTCATTTCCTTGACATCCACTGTCATTTCCACTGGTGAAGAAGCCTTCCTGTGGTTTTCAATCTTGTTTTTGAGAAGTTGAATGAACTCACTGTGGTCTGAAGTTGTTAAAGATTCAATATTTCTTTCAAGGTTTGAGAAGGTCCCTTTGGGGACCACTCCCAGTCCTTCTAGTTTATCTATATGCGTCTTTGTTTTAAAGTGTTCTGACAATTCCTCCCTGGAGTCAAAGGTCAACAGACACAAGTCACACTTCACCGAGTAACTCTTCACACTTTCACATTTCTCATGGCTATGGTTCTCTAATTTCTCCCTGGAAGGAAAGTCCACCCCACATGTTTCACAGCTGAAGAGATGTTCCATTTTGTGGGTTTTGAGATGATCCAGAATGTGTTCGGGTTCTAATAACCCATCACAAAACTGACACTGATACAACACTTGTTCATTTGCCCCCTCTGCAGAAGTCACATGTATCACACTGTCTTCATCTGAATTCTCAATGATTATGTAACTGGGGTAGTTATCCTCATTTTGATCATCAATGTTCAAAACTTTTAATTTCTCCTCTCCATCTTGAATTGAAGAGATCTTGCTTTGCGCAAAGGAGTCTTCTGTTTTCACACCACTTTCAGTGCTATGCACAGTGAAAACTTCCTGGGAGTCATGTTTTTCCATGAATGGATGTTGAAATTGGAATGGAGCAAAAACAGGAGTGGCCTGACTCAGGGGAGTGGGCTGACCAGTGGGGGTCTTGACCGTGCTACTCAACTGTAACGTCATGGGCCGTTGCCTGATGAGCTGACCAATGATTGGGCCAGAATTCGTGGTCTGTTTGGGTTGTTTGAAATAAGCCAATGGGGGCATGAAACCACCCAGTGGAATAGAAAATTCCAGTTGTTTAGGTGACTCCACTTTGTTCTTCTTTTCCTCTCTGCTAACACCTGATCCTGGTGTTTTAGTGATATTAATCTCTTTAGCATTAGTTGTAATCTCTGGATTCATGGATTCCACAGGTTTTTCTGCATCACAAACTTCAGAATCAAGATTTGTTCTTTCAGTCATGTCAATATTTTTATAAGGTTTCTTAATATTGTTTTTCTCAGAAGTTGTTCCATTTTCAATTGGCTTCTTCTGAAAGAGACGGAAAATATCACAATAAATGCACATCAATGGATTAAAACACATCCCTTAAAGTGTTGCCCATCTAGTTTAACAAGTCTTTCATTTAAAAAAAGAAAAATGTTTTAGTCAGATAAGCTACAGGTACCATTTCCAAATGGAAACCAGAAGTCTCTGTCGAGACTGTAGCTCTACTGGTTTGTACTTACCAAAAACCATTGCACTATTTTATGTATCTTTGTGTAGTCTACTTGTGTGCCATTATTTTGAAATCAAACTAAAACTATAGAAGGAGTAGCGTTTTAAAAGAATTTCACAGAAAATTCTATTCTTAATAACCAAGGCAACACCGTTCATCGAAATCAAAAACCGATGCACTATTCTATGTATCTTAGTGTAGTCTACATGTGTGCCAAGTTATATTGTAATCAGACCAAAACTGTAGAAGGAGTAGCGTTTTAAAAGAATTTCACAGAAAATTCTATTCTTAATAACCAAGGCAACACCGTTCATCAAAATCAAAAACCGATGCACTATTCTATGTATCTTAGTGTAGTCTACTTGTGTGCCATGTTATATTGAAATCAGACCAAAACTGTAGAAAGAGTAGCATTTTTCAGGAATTTCACAGAAAGTTCTTTTTTTAGTAACCATGGCAACACCGTTCATCGAAATCAAAAACCGATGCACTATTCTTTGTATCTTAGTGTAGTCTACTTGTGTGCCAAGTTATATTGAAATCAGACCAAAACTGTAGAAGGAGTAGCGTTTTTCAGGAATTTCACAGAAAATTCTATTTTTAGTCACTATGGCAACACCGTTCATAGAAATTAAAAACCGATGCACTATTCTATGTATCTTAGTGTAGTCTACTTGTGTGCCAAGTAATACTGAAATCAGACTAAAATTGTAGGAGGAGTAGCGTTTTGAAAAATTGTTTACAGACAGACGGACGGACGCCGGACGCATTACTATCGCATAAGCTCTTCTGGTCTCTGACCAGTAGAGCTAAAAATGACATTGCAATTACAGAACAGACCATAATTTCCTGAGGAAATAACTTTCCCCATAACACTAAAAGTGCAATGGGGCACCACTGGTTTTACTCAACTATCAGTAAATGAGACAATTAATATAACGTTTTTTGTTGTACTGGAAAAAAAGATATACCGTTAGCCTACTTCTAAGAAGTTAAGAAAAATTTTGTGCACTTGGAAAAATATGCATCATAATATATGTACCCTTTAAAATTACCAGAAATTTTGCAGCAGCTAGATTTCCAATCCGTAATAAACAAATTATTCTGTTACAAGGGCCGTTCAAAAATTACGCGGACTTGTTGCACAGAAAAAATATTTGACGACATAATCGGGCAAAATGTCACACATAATATAAAAGAATCCTTACTTACATTTCAAAATGTTGTAAATTGGTATGAATTTTGAGTGATTTATCTGGACATATCATTAAGTCACGGAGCAGCAAAATCTTCGACGTCACAGTCATTATAAACAAGAGGCCCATGGGCCACATCGCTCACCTGAGAAGCTTTGACCATTCTGTTCTTTACCAGATTTCCCCCTTTTAATACATATTGCGACCTAACCCTACCCCACTGATCATGATTTAGACATTTTGAAATCTACAATACCCCAGGATGTTTCGATGTGCACATAAATTTCAGCTTTTCTGGCCCAGTGGTTCTTGAGAAGAAGATTTTCAAAGAATTTTCCTATATATTTCTATGTAAAACTTTGATTCCCCATTGTGGCCCCGCCCTACCCCCGGGGGTCATGATTTGTACAATTTAGAATCTACACTACCCCAGGATGCTTCCACATAAGTTTCAGCTCTTCTGGCCCAGTGGTTCTTGAGAAGAAGATTTTTTAATGACCCCACCCTATTTTTGAATTTTCTTGATTATCTCCCCTTGTGAGGGGATTTGGCCCTTCATTTTAACAATTTAAATTCCCCTTCACCCAAGGATGCTTTGTACCAAGTTTGGTCAAAATTGGCCCAGTGGTTCTTGAGAAGAAGTCGAAAATGTGAAAAGTTTACAGACGGACAGACAGACAGACAGCTAGACAGACGGACGGACAGACGACGGACAAAATGTGATCAGAAAAGCTCACTTGAGCCTTCGGCTCAGGTGAGTTAAAAATGTTATTGAGCTTTCATTTTCTCAACATTTTCCCAAGAGTACCTGTACAGTTTGAGTTACGTTATCTACTCAACATCCAAACACCATTACTTGTCAAGCTTAAAATCTATTAAATAAGTAAAGAATATTCTTTTTATCTTAAAACTAAACACTGCAGGTATTTATCAGATATAATGTGATATTGGTGACTCTCAATCACGTTCTTTACAGTCCGGATAAAGTTTTCGTCGATACTCTTTTTCTTGTTCTCCCTTATAGCCTTTTTAACAGAGGTCTAACGGTCTAAAATTTCAATTTGCTATTTGTGGACGAATGTCACGAATACCCTAGTTTACTACATGTTTTATTATGTATATTTTGGATCTATGTTGGCGATATCTCGAGCATTACACATAATTTAACAAAAGTGTGGTGCGCCGTCAATTCAGGAGATGTCATTTTCACAGTCGCATCAGAGAAAAATCACTATATTTCTGTTAGTACTTTAAATATCACGTCAGAAATTTAAATGCATAATAATAGAACAATTCAAAGATACATTTGAGAAAATTGTCAAAAAATATCGCAAATTATTGAAAATTAATGAGTTAAATTTTGGATTCCACATGCTTTTGCTTCAAATTTTTTGTCGTGCTCCGTACCTCTCCATCAGCGATATCATCATACCTATAATTTTAGTAGAATTTTTTTTTAAATACGGAAATTTTGCCCAAAATTAATTGGAATCTTTAAAATACATATTTCTGTAAAATTTCATAACTACATGTATATGACGTCTGTAAGAGTAAATAATAGCACAGTCCGCGTAATTTTTGAATGGCCCTCGTACATTAAGTGTGTGCAAAAATGGTTCAAATCCATTTGCCAAATGTCACTGGCAGAATTAACTCTGATTGCAATCAAGCTAATAAACATATAGAATTTTTATTTTCAAGTGACTAACTAATCAAAATATTACATGTATAAAATGTGTTCCTAGTACACCTCATGTGATACAGATTAGATCCGGTTTTTCTATACATTACCTCACAAGAATCCTCAGGAGGTACCGAGTCCTGATTTCCTTCTTTTAACACTGCTTCATGCTTACGTAGTTCCTCTAGTAAGAAGCCTAACTTTGGATCTGAAATCAGAGTAATTTTACGAATGTAAACTTTAAATTTTGTATAATCATCTATGCAGTACACGTTATTTTCAAACAAAACCACCCTTAGTGTGTTTGCAAATTTTTTTTTAAAAATTAGAAAAGAGAAAGTTTTTGCCTTATCTATTTATCCCATAGACAATGTACTCTATACCAACTATTATTCATGTCATCTCTTATTCACGATTTGTATTCGACAATTAATTTCCACATCTAAGAAACATTCTCTACAAAAATGCCAAATTAATTGTTCACGGCTATTAATATTCGTGAGTTAAAGTTGGTCACTAAACTTCTTGCACGCGGATAGTAGTTGGTTTACAGTATTTTGATAAACATGAACGGGATGAATGAATAGTGCTATATTTTTCAAATATTTTAATGCTAATAAATGATTTACATAAACAAATACTTTCTACAGATGCTATATCTACACATGTAGTAAGTGTAATCACTGTGCTACTTATAGCTAGATTTTTTTATCACTGTTGGTGCTGCATAATATATTAACAGCACCGGCAGTACACGGACATTACAAATAAACACCATATTTTACCTCCTTCTGAAATGTACACCTCTGTGATTTCCACTACACTGGATGATGGGCTTTCTGCAATTAATGAAAAAAGTTTTACTTTTTTGATAAATAATATAAAAAATTTTAAGGAAGATGTGTGAAAAAAGTTAATAAGAATTACTGTATAAGTGGAAATTTTAGCGAGATGCAAATTTAGCGATTTCTACCTAAAATGTGGTGTTTTATTTTTAGCGAGAGGTAATTTAAGTGATTTTAAAATGCTAACTGAAGAAGCTATTACAAATAATACGCAATTAGTTTTTAGCGATATTCAATTTTAGCAATGTCAGCACCCTTGCTAATAATGCCAAAATTAAATCCTTACTAAATTCTACTTATACGGTACTTATTAACTTTTCTTAGAAAACACAACTTTACACAAACACTGTTATGACTGTACAAGGAAATTTCTCTCCCCTTTTGTTTTTGCCCCTTTCACCCTCAAGACAGTATAAAGTATATAAAATGGGGCAAATTTAAAGTTCATAGTATCATCTCCTTTAAAAAAAAACTGATCAATTTAAAACAGGAAGAAATAATGAAAGTGTGAAAGGGCTAAAATATCCTGATGTACAATTTATGGTTAAATCTAAGTTGGAACTAATGTCTATTCTGGACTTAATGAGTGTAAATAGTGTAAATATAAATTTCACACATTACCTTCAACAGATGACACTCCTGCAGGAAACCCATATATTGTTCCCAGACTGAAAAGAAACAAGAAGTTATAAATCTACATTGAATTGTTTAGTAAATGGAACAACACATAGAAATAATATCTGAAAGACGCCAGGAAATGAGGAATCACTCAGGGACCAACAATATTCACATTACAATGAAAGCGGAATAATGACTCCTTTTTGTTGATCTTCTTTTTAACGTTATAAAGTATCAGATTACAAAAGCACTAAAATTATTGTGCTACACATTAAAGTCTAAGGCATCACTTGGTAAATCTTAAAATTTATGAAGGTTGTTCCAGCAAAATGCAAATATGTATCTTCTTCAACCATATCTACATGTACCCTCATAATAAATAAGAATTCACAAGGCTAAAAAAAAAATTTCAAGTTATTTCCTCATATTTACCTTGCTGGTTCACTGCTGGTGTCCTCCACAATATGGATGACCTGCTGACCGGTACTGGCTGGATGTTCTGATGTCCCCTCCTCCTTCTGATGTACAATGGCTACTATTGGTTGGCCAGGGTTTCTCAGTGACTGTGGTATACTCTGGTGTGGCTGTACTAGAGAACAAATCACAGGGGTGGATCCAAGGAGGCCTCTTTCTAAGCTCCCTAAACTGGAGCCAGGACTGAAAGTTAGCATCAAATAACATTAAATGAGAGAGTACATCTGATACATGGATCAGGCTGAAGGTGGGCTACACACAAACCTCGTTATCACAAACTCAATGAGACCAAGAAGAAACTTCAAGATAACTGAGTATTCCATATATTAAGGGTAAAATACCAAAAGGAAAAACAGACTTGAACTTTCAGATCATTTTGATATATAGCAATTGTACTCAAGATATCAGTGTAAGAGATACCAAAGTGCATCTGTATATGGATTTTTTAAAAATCTCAACTTTGTTAAGTTGGAGATTGAATTTTGACAACAATTTTTTTCACACTTGTCTATAAGCGTGTATAACTGTATATACCTATTGACTTCCTGTATGACCTCTTTCTCTGAGGTGACCCTGTCCTCCGTAGTGACCTCCATCTCCGTGACAACCTCTGGGGCTTCCTGCTGACTGTCACTGATGTCCATGCTATCTTGGTCCTGCATTAAAAGGCCAAAATCAGAAATTACATGTATTATTAAATAAATGTGAATTCAAATACCATAACTGTTTCACAATTTTCAACGTATACAGGATTGTAAATCACACTGGTGGAAAACAGATAAAAATTACCACTCTGTGTCATGTGTTCAGAATATGGCTACTCATATGCTTTTTTAAAACTATTTTTTTTAATCCTAAAGCAATTTTTCCACAGAAAAATGAAATTTTATTTAACATCTTTGGAAGTTTTTACACGGGATTATGCCAATAAACTACACTGACCATAGATTCTTCCTCCTCTTCATCATCACTCTCTGAGTCGATCTCGTCTAGGTCTAGCGACATAGAGGCTCCGTCCTTCAGCACGATTCGCGCCTTCCTGGACAGGTCACACTGAGCCTTCAGCATCTCCTGATCAATCTGACACTCGTCCACCTGGGTCGGCACAGGCAGTATCCCCAGCTCTATACACCTCTTGTGGTGAGACTTGGACTTCATGTGCTTGGTCAGGTTGCCTTTGTTTTGAAGGAGAAGTGGCAGTGACAGCAGACGTATGGCCGAAGATTGGTGTGGGATCGTATGTGCTTCTTCAACATGCTGGGTTTCTTACAGCGAATTCCACACTCATTGCAAATATACTTCCCTCTGCCTCTTCCTCTGACATATACATAGGGATCCAAGGATTTCACGCCCCCTGTCACTTTCTTTGGGGTAGAGATCTTGGTGCTTGATATGGGTTTGGTTGTATCTGTTTCTTTCTTTATTTCCAGTTTCTTTTCAATAGGCATGGCCTTCTTCTCTTTGTAGGTCCAGTAACTACTGTGTGTTAACATCCCACCTTTGGAAGCCTGATTTGATGACATTACATAACCTGGGTCTTTGTTAGTATCAGATTTGTACAGAGACAACAGCATCTTTGGAGTGAGCCCTATGGGATTTGTATTGTGACCTGATACCTTCCAGTTTGAATACATGGAAATCTTTTTGGTGGATCTGAATGGAACATACATAGGCTGGGGCCTAGAAATACAACAGAATGACACTTGTGTTGACATCCTGAGAGAGGGGTAGTTATGACCATACAATATCAGTGGGACTGACACAGTAGGACTTTTCTCTGGAACTTGTGAGCCACTAGCAGTAGCTGAGATGCATTTGTTGCTGTCCATCATTGCTAAATTCTGTTCAGGTGGAAAGTCTGAGGTCTCGCTTGACTGACTACTTTTCTCTCTGAACATGAGATGGCTGACCATTTGAGACAAGTGATACATGGGCTGAGCCCTCACCACTGGTATGGAGAGAGTCTTGATTCTCCAGGCTTTACTATCCGGCTCAAGGATCACATCCGATGAAGCCGACTGTGTGGATGGAATCAAGTCCTCATGCTTCAGTGGTGTCTGGATGGAAACCAGTTTGATCTTCTTGCTTGCTGGACCTTCAGGATCTTCTCTAAACAACATTGGGGATATTGATGACTGCAATACTTTGGGGTCTAAACTAAGTGATCTTTTCATGAGTAATTTTCCTTTCAGTTTTTCTTTGAGATCTTCATTTAGAACATGAGGCGAGGAATGCTCTGATGAGTCTGATGATGAATGAATCAAATGTTTGTCTTTGAGTTTAGTATCCAATTGTTTTTGAGCAACATTAATGTTTGGTTGTAAAGGTTCACCAACTTTTACTCTCCCAGCAGGATGCACCATGGCTGTCTTTCCTGGCAATTCTTTCCAGTATAAATCACTTCCCACTGGTCCCACTATCTGTACCTGAATCATACTGTGAAGATCACTGGCTGTAGCAGAAGATGATGGTTGTTTTTTAACAATGACTTCTTGCTGTCCTTTCCTGCTTTCAGTGGGGTTTAAACTTTTCACAGACATCACATTCTGAATGGCTACTGGCTGAGCATCTGCAACCTTGGGTGTTGATGCTGAACTTAAGGTCATCACTGAATATGACACAGGTGGTGGGGCCTTTGTAAGGGATGAGATGCTCTTCTGACTCGTTATAACTGACACCTGAGGAACTGTCTGGACTGTTTTTACCTGTGGGCCTCCACCTAGTGCTATCTGTAGCTGTGGCACTGACTGTGTAGGCAAAATACCAGGCAGTTGACTTAAAGGATAAATGCTGATTGGTATTGGACTCTGGGGTGTCTGAGCAGATGGCACAGAATTTCTTGGTTGTCTTTCATTAAGTCTGGGTCTTCCCTTTTTATTAAGATTTTCCACTGAAGAGGGAAGGCTTCCATTAGCTGGAACATTCAAGACACCTCTAGAAAACTGAGCTGGGATACTGAGCTGTTTTGATATTCCAGTGTCTGGAGATTTAATTACACCCACACCCTCAGACCTGATGATTATACTGGTCTTAGTGGTTGCCGGAGCAGACGACTGTTTAGGGAACTGTATAACAGGCAGAGATATTTGTCTTTTTACTAAACCTTCTACTGGTTTCTTTTCACTCTCCTGTTTTTGAAAAATTTGCAGTACCTTGGATCTGTCTATGGAATCATGAGCTTTTATAAATTTACAATAGTAAGCCATATGTAAATCTAATGTCTCTTTCTTGTAGAATGCAGTCTTGCAGAAACTGCATATGAACTGCTCTTTTTTCAAAGTGGAAGATTTTGAGGACTCTGTTAATGTTATTGGAGTAGTATTTCCAAGTTCCTCTTTCTCACAGATGTTGATTTGTGTTTCTGACTTAGACTTTTGGACAGGTGGAATATCACGAGCCTTAATAACTTCCCGAATTTTATCCTTAATTGCTTTAGACTGGCCGTCAGCTGCTTCGTTTTCTTGCTTCACGGTTTTAGGTGGAGCAGGGTTCTCCAACTGTAGCTTGATGGTAATTTCTTTGTCTAAGGCAGTCACTGTTTTGGAAGCAATTTCTTGAGTTCTGATTGCCCCCTTGGAATCCGGTTTTGGAGTCCCAGATTTATTGGCTTCAGCTATCTGCTTCAGGACTTCATTAGAAATCGTCAGCACTGGTAACTGATTTCCTAGGCTGACCTGAGTCTTTGAATCTAAATCTACACTTGAGGAGAGGGCAGACTGTCTAACAAGACGTCTGGTAGCACTAGCTTCTGATTTACCCTCTGAAGATGTTCTTCTCATTTCATTGTTAACTAATGAGGGAACAGATGTTGAAACCACTTTATCTAAACTCTCTGCCTTTGACACAGTTCTTGTTGTAACACCAGTCTCTGTTGAGGAAACAGAATTCTCAATGCTGTTGTTTTCAAACTTCTGAAGTAGCACTGTACTAGGCTTCGTAATGGTACCCTTAGATTCACTACTCTGTCTATACAATCGCTTATATTCAAACAAGGGACTTTTCACAATAGCCGCATTGCTGGATATCAGATTCTGAATTCTCTCTTTGACTTTCTCCATATCTACCTTTGATTCACTCTGGCTCTTTGTCTGTAGGTCACCGGCCGGCTGTGAGAACGACCTGACCAGGGGTCCATGGGCCTCACGGGCGGGGATGGCCTTGACCGACACTTGACACGTTCCGTCCTGGAGTTCCATAACTGCTGGGACCAGCTGGACGTCTGAGGCACTGGACTGCTGGACTCTGTCACTTAACTCCTCCAGCTCTCTCAGTACCTTGTTAGCCATTCCTGGGTCAGTGTTAGGATGAGGTAATCTGATCACTTCCACAGCCCCCGCTCCATTATCAATGGCGATCATCTTTTCTGCTTCTATGTTGCTTATGGATGTATTGATGGATGGTGCAGTGGAAGCCTCAACATTTTGGAAAGCCAATGGCAGAAGGAGTCTGTGAACTGTTACTGACCCTCCACTTCCCATTCTGTGAACTGTGGTGAGTTGATCCGTGCTCTCTGATCCTTTAACAGACAGCAGATCTTTCTTGGGAGCAATAGTTATAAACTGACTTTGTGCTGAATTTAATTTCTGTTCATCCACAACTCCTGGTCTTTTTCCGACTGGTCCAGTGTTTTTTGCAGGTTCAAAGTCTAAATTCAAATTCCGCATTCTCGTTTCAAATCTAGGTCTGGCATCGCTTTTCCAGGATGGAACCTCTATCCTTGGTCGCTCTGCCTTAGGTTTCTCCAGATACTTTGCTACCTCCTGTAAAACATGCACAGGAGCTTGTTCACGGTTTTCAAAGCTATCCTCTCTCTGTACAGTATGAGATTCAGTTGGATCCGAGTCAGCTTTCTTTAGAAACTTTGACATGTCATTCAGCAAAGAAATCTGTTCCGCTTCATTTGGAGTCAGGGAACTTTCATCTCTCTCTGCTGTGTCTGTGCTAGACTGGCTTTCATTCAGTCCTTCTTCATCCTCCTCTGATTCATCTATATCTTCTGCCTCCATTTCCTCTTGACTAGGCCACTTTGGTAGACTTTTTCTGCCAAGTTTGGCTTTTAGTGCATGTGACCTTGACTTGCAGTGCTTGTACAAGTTACTTTTGGTTTTGAAAGCGAATCCACAATCCAGACAAGGGAATGGCCGTTCCCCTGTGTGAGCTCGGAGATGTTTCTGAAGCACGCTGGGTTTAGCACATCCCCTTCCACAGAAAGAGCAAATGTGTTTACCAGGTTTGGCAGGGTGCTTACGCTTTCGGATATCCTCTGGGTTTACCACCTTGATCTTTGAGGAGCCTGCTTCGGAGTTACTTTCCTGTGAACTGGTGGAGGGGGGTGGGGTTGATGCTGATTCGTGTGTCTGGGGTGTGCCGGGGGATCCTTGTCGCTGAATGTTCTGAAGTTCAGATGATCCAACCTCACATAAAGCCTCCAGTGACAAGTTACGCTTCTCCAACTGTGAGATTGTCTCTACTGCAGGAACCACTGGTGGGGTTTCCACTATCTACAATACAAAAAATATACACGTGAAAGAGGTCTGCAAAACTAAATCAAATATTTTACAACATTGTGCAGTAAAATGCAGACCTCAATGTACATTTAACAACATGTTTCTTACTTTCTTGCTGACATAATTTTTATGTATTAAACCTAAATAAGACAAATGAAAGAATTTCATTTATTTCCACATTAACTGTAAACTTCTGGAATCTGACTTTGTCTTTCTCAATTAATTCATTTGGAAAACTGAACATGTGTCAAGTGTGACCAAAAAAAAATGTTATATGCTTAATAAATAAATGTACGTTAAATTCCCTTGCTTAGGCTGTAATTTGGATAAAATGTTTAAAAAAATAAATAAAAATTCCAGTTCATGAATTCTACTGCTGCTGCTCAATGCCTGTTCCTGACTTACTTTGGTACCAGCAGTAGAGAAGTTATCCCCCTTGCCACTCCCTGGTACAGGGGATGCTGTGTCACTGGACAATTCCTCCTGTGTCTGTTCAAATACTGAAACAGACAGCATTTTATAAGTTATCTTGAAATCATTTTTCTGATGGTAAATAAGAATGCCATAGTTTGCTATTATACAAGAGGCCCATGGGCAACATCGCTCACCTGAGAAGCTTTGACCATGCTGTTCTTTACCAGATTTCCCCTTTGTAATACCTACTGTGACCCCATCCTACCCCACGGGTCATAATTAAAATCTACATTATCCCAGGATGCTTCCACATAAGTTTCAGCTTTTCTGGCAAAGTGGTTATTGAGAAGAAGATTGTTACTGTAAAGATTTTTCCTATATACTTCTATGTAAAACTTGGATTCCTATTGTGGTCCCATCCTACCCCCAGGGTCATGTTTTGAACAATTTAGAATTTGCACTTCCCTAGATGAGCAGCTTTTCTGGCCCTGTTTGAGAAGAAGATTTTCAAAGATTTTTCCTATATATTTCTATGTAAAACTTTGATTCTCTATTGTGGTCCCTCCCTACCCCTGGGGGTCATGATTTGAACAATTAAGAATCTACACTACCCAAGATTGCTTCCACAAGAGTTTAAGCTTTTCTGGCCCTGTGGTTTTTGAGAAGAAGATTTTCAAAGAATTTTCCTATATATTTCTATGTAAAACTTTGATTCCCTATTATGTCCCTGCCCAACCCCCCAGGGTCATGATTTGAACAATTCAGAATCTACACTTCCCTAGGATGCTTCCACATAAGTTTCAGCTTTTCTGGCACTGTGGTACTTGAGAAGTATTTCTATGTAAAACTTTGATTCCCTATTGTGGCCCCGCCCTGCCCCCGGGGGTCATGAATTGAATAATTTAGAATCTACCCTACCCCAGGATGCTTCAATGTAAGTTTCAACTTTTCTGGCCCAGTGGTTCTTGAGAAGAATTTTTTAATGACCCCACCCTATTTTTTGTCTTTTCTTGATTATCTCCCCTTGTGAGGGGAATTGACCCTTTATTTTAATAATTTATATTTCCCATCACCCAATGATGCTTTGTACCAGGTTTGGTCAAAATTGGACCAGTGGTTCTTGAGAAGAAGTCGAAAATGTGAAAAGTTTACAGACGGACAGACAGCTAGACATACAGACGGACGACACAAAATGTGATCAGCTATGATGTGCTAAAAAGCATATTTGATCCAACATCTATCATTACACATTTCATAATAACAGTGTTTTGATACAAACTCTTCTCACATCCAGGATCCTCAGCAAAAATTTATGCAATAATTATTTTTCTTTTCAAACAGATTTTTATTATAAATTTTCAAAAAACAACTGAAGCTTCCTGTCTGCACCAGCTATGATGTGAATATGAAGTTTGTTCATGTGTACTGAACTGAAGAGTACATGAATTCTTGTTCTATTAACAAAATGCTAATAGATAGATTGTCAGAAAAAAGGATTAAATAGACATGTCAAGAATTTCATTTATTCACCATTTGGTCTAGATCACAGGGATACAAAAAAAATGTCAAGAAAAAAAAATTCTTTACATGCACAATTTTTTTACTAACCACTTGGTCTAGATCTTTAGCATGATAACAGGAACTGTACCCTAGCTCTAAGGAAATACATACCTGTATCATCGCCCTGGTCTTCAGAGTGAAGTTTGAGTTTTTTGGTCTCGGGTGTCCCATCATCATCTTCTTCCTCATCTTCATCTAGAAATTAAAAGATTAATGATTAGAATGAAACAGGCAAGTCAAATATAAACATGATAATTATTGTTTTAAAAGAACTGATCAGGGATGGGGTCGATTACTTTCAAAAGTAAATTAGTAATCGATTAAATTTGGATTTTAAATGTAATCAATTACAAGCTGATTACAGCCATTTTTAAAAGTAATCAATAACAGTTCAACTGATGATAGACTTTGGAATTAGTATGTTTTGTATTTTCTGTGCATACATGTACATCATTCTGTATATATTTCCATTTCTATTTGCTTTCTCTGTGATAACTCTTTGAAAGTTAATGGAGTTGATTTCTCGATATTTCTACCTGAATGTATAAATTTCTCCAAGCAATCTAGATCAGGAGCTAAGTAGGCCTAATTCTATGCATGTAAATTTTGACCATGCATCTGTCTTAGAATCTGATGCTAAGGAGGCCTAATATTCATGTAAATCTCATGCGTCTGTCTTTGTGTTTGACATCAGCATGCAGGGCCGGACTATTAAAATTGACATGGGAGGCCCTGTGTAATTTAAAACTTTAGTATATCTACATATTTCGGTTTCTCAAATACAATTTTATTTCATAATGAAATAGAAATGTAAGGAATCACTGTCTAGTTAGTAGAGTATACCAGGGACATCAACGATAGTTGGAACCGTGGGATAATTTATGCATAACGGGATTTTACCCTTTATGCAAATTATCCCACGTTTCCAGTCATATATCCTTGATGCCCTGGCATACTCTACTACCTAGACAGTGATTCCTTAATTAAATAATTCCCTTGTCATCGGAATAGTTGGAGAATATGCCACTCAGTCTCGAGATTTTGTTGGCCAATAAATTCAAGCAAGAACTTAAAAGTTATAAGGTTTTTATTTACTAAGAAAATCTTTAGACTACCTAACAGGCATAATTCCTCCAATGCATTTAGTATATATAAATAGCATGGAGCACATGGTATTTTTTATAAAATTAACAATGAACAATCTATCTGATACATTTTGGCATCAATACCTTTTTCATTACTCTCCTGATCTGCTAAATTGTCTCCCTTTTCTCCCACTGATAGACTTTCTGTTGGTTGTCCCCCTTCTGTCTCACCATCTGCACATTAAAAATCACCACAATTATAAAATATCAGAGACATATACAACATTTAATGAATATTTATGCCTATGGAAATGTTAAACCTTATGAGAAGTGATTATAATTTATTCAAAATTAGGTCTAATTAATTCTTGAATCAAATTATAGAATATATTTCTTTATATTAAACAATTTGTTTTCAAATATACTAGCTATATCTAGACAGGGTATGTAAATTTTAAAAGTACTTGTACACATAACTTCTATTGCTTCTTAATTTTAACTGCTTATTAAATTCAGTAAAAATACTAAAATAAGCTTCAGTCTAAACCAGACATAAAAATAAAATGTTTAATTCTCTGTTGATACTGGGTTAATCTATAGATGAATATTGAAATGAATAATAAATACTAATAAAATCTATGTGTTCTACTCAGAAACACACAGAAGCATAGAATACATATAGAATGTTCAGTAAATAATGAAATGGAAAATCCTGTGAAATTCTGCACATCACGTGACATGCCTGGGGAACCCCTGATAACCGAAGGTGTTTCCCCAATAAAATGTTTTGAATTTAGAAATAATATACACCAATAAAGTTTACAATAAGCAACATAAATAAAAGCATATCATGATCCAAATATTCATTAATTAACTGCATACATACGGTCTATCAATGTTTCAACACCAAGCGATTTTCTACGTGGCATCCCGAAAGTGTCCTCCGAGATCTCCTAGCGTCCTTCTTGCATTTCGTATTTTTCGATTAGAAACCGAAAGGAAATTGAAGGAAATACATTCTATAATATGCTAACATTGCATACTTAGTCGTACAAAGAGAAAACACATCAAAATTTATCGAACAACCTCAATTTTCCTGTGGGATTTTCTCACTCCATAGCAAAACGAATGACGTCACTCTCGTGACATGCTCGTCGATCGATAGCGAGGCTACATGGTATTCCCAGATAAAACATTTTATTAGATAACATATTTCATTGTAAGCTTGGGGTTTATAACTTTATTTTATCTTTTTGACAAAAGCATAGAGTTTAGCAGGTCATATATCATTGATTTTAATAAAATAATTTCATACAGTGACTCTCTCACTACGCATCATGAATGAGGAAAGAGCGACAACTCTGTATGGGAGTCGTTTCGCCATGATGTTCTTCTGCACAGTCGATTTGGTCAAAATCAGTCGTGGAAACTATTGGAATAAAAATTAAAAATTAGTATATACAGGTATATAGATGTACAGTATTGTGAAATTTATTATATTGTCGTAGTAATTTTGGTACATACATGTATTTTAAAAATGTTCCATTTTAATTTTTTTTTTAATAATTTTAACAATATCAGGCGCGTAGCTGCCTATACCATATATACGCAAGTACGCAAGTGCGTACACATCATTTTCAAAAAGAAAAGAAAAGAAAAAAAACAGATTTATTCGGAGAGAAAGAGAGGCACTATGATCCATGTTTCAAATTATTTTGTGTTTTGATTCAAATTTTGTTCAGCATGTCTGTACAATCAAATTCAAAGTCTTTTATAAAATCAATTCCAAAAACATCTTGAGGAAGAAAATATTGTTGAACCAAAATTTCTAACTATTAATCCTTTGCCTGACTATATAAGATTTTCAATTTCCGTTGAGGTAATGAATAAATGTCGTTAAACAAAAAATGGTATAATTTAAATTAGGCAGAACAAGGAAAATAATTATATAGATCATGTATGAAAATCTTCTTTTACTGATGTTACCAATTTATAGAATTATTATTTAAGCATACTCAACTTTATGGCACGCCAAATTCACAAAAATGAGATAATCATAGTTTCTCAATCGATAAACTAGGTTTATCGGTTGTAAACTATAGTTTACGGACTGTAAACTATAGTTAACTATACGTTAATCTATATTTCAAATCTGTAAACCATAGTTAACGCGATAATCTATGTTTCACAACCGTAAACTATACTTAACACCGAAAACAATCATTTGCGATTGCAAAACCTAGATTATCTGATAAATACAGTTTCACGATTTGTAAACTATAGTTTACAAACCGTTAACTGTTAACGATCTGATAAATATAGTTTCACGATTTGTGAAACTATGATTAACAACTCTTAACTATAGTTTACGATTGTAAACTATAGTTTACAAACGTGAATCTATGTTTATCAACAAAATCTATTGTTAACGCTTTATTCAGACAGATAAACTTAGATTAGCATTCGTAAACTATAGTTAACGACCGTTAAATATAGTTTTACAGATGAAAACTATACTTAACGAATCGTAAACTATACTTAACGAATCGTTAACTATAGTTTACGGTTTGTAAACTATAGTTTACAGTCGATAAACCTAGTTTATCAATTGTGAAACTAGGTTTATCTCATTTTTGTGAATTTGGCGTGCCATACACCTTGTTTAAGCTATCAGAATATAAAAGTAAACAAAAGACCCCCATCCCCGTTTATATTTTGAAATATTTAAACTCCTATGATAACGTTGTTGAAATTACTTCTCTGTTGTACCTTGTCACACTTGGAAACTTTTTTTCCAAAATTTATTTATCGATATTTACATTTGCAAATGTTTTCCTTTATACAGCACTACTGAAAGCAAGCGTATTTATTTAAGAAATAAGGTATCGTTTTTTGAGTTTTATTGGGATGTAAAACGGGTTGGTCACGTGATCAAATCCCATAAAGCCCGAAGGGCTTGTTTTACATCCCAGAATATAAACTCAAAAAAATGATACCTTATTACTTATATTTACATTTGTGACTTTTCATACTTTATATTTGCCTTATTGTGAATTTTAACGTGTGAAATGCATTATTTTTCAAACCCAACGGCATGTATGTAATCCACTGAACGCGCGTCGATAACGTGTTTATCCATGACAATGACCTCTTTACCTGTATTTACACAGTTATATTTACATTTGCAAAATGTTTTCCTTTATATAGCACTACTGAAAGCAAGCCTGTATAAATACAGGTGTCATAGACACGTTTGGATTACATACATGCCGTTGGGTTTGAAAAATAATGCATTTCACACGTTAAAAGTCACAATCAGGCAAATTTAAAGTATGAATAAGTCACAAATGTAAATATAAGTAATAAGGTATCATTTTTTGAGTTTTACTGGGATGTAAAACGGGTTGGCACATGATCAAATCTTTGATCACGTGACCAACCCGTTTTACATCCCAATAAAACTGAAAAAAACGATACCTTATTTCTTAAATATATCCGTAAAAATAATGTGACAAATCTTGTCCGTCTTATGCCCCCGTAATCGAAGATTCGAGGTTATATAGTTTTTATCGCGTCCATCTGTCTGTCTATCTGTGTTTTGTCTGTTTGTCAGCAAAAACTCTAACCTTGCTTATAACTTTTGATTTAGTAGAGCTCCATGTATGACTTTCATATTTCACACGTGTATTCCTTGTGCCCTTTCTTTGGGCACCACCAAATTTGACCTTTTGACCTTGGAGTTTGACAACAATTTTACACAAAAATTCCAAACTTTAACTTTCGCCATAACTTTTTTTTAATAGTAGATACTAAGACTTTCATATTTCACATTTGTATTTTTTGTGACAAGACCTTCCATTGGATTCCAACCTCTTTTACCTTTTGACCTTGACGATTAATGTTCTTAAAAAAAACTTGAACTTTGGCCATAACTTTTGAACAGTAAGGGCTAGGGCTTTCATACTTCACATATGTATTCCTTGTGAGAAGACCTTTCATGGGATACCAACATCTTTGACCTTTTTGACATTGACTATGGAGTTTGACCTACTTTTTAAAAACAAACAACTTTTGAAGAGTTAGGCCTAGGGCTTTCACACTTCACATATTTAATCCATATGACAAGACCTTTCACTGAATACCAAGAACTTTGACCCTTTCACCTTGACCTTGGAGTTTGACCTACTTTTAAAAAACAAACCTTGATCATAACTGTTGAACGGTTAGAACTATGGCGTTCAAACTTCATAAACATTATCCTTGTGACAAGACCCTTCTTTAGAAATCAACAACTTTGAACCTTTGACCCTGACCCTGGAGTTTGACCTACCTTTCCAAAACTTATCCTTGGCCATAGCTTTTGAACATATGGTGCTAGGACTTTCGTATTTCACAATCGTATTTCTTGAGAGAAGGCCTTACCTTGGGTACCAACATAATTTATTTTGCATTAAAGAAAAGTTAAATATTCGCTTTGTTACCATACGGGGGCATCAGTGTTTCACAAACACATCTTGTTTCAATGAGCAGGCACGTAGCAACGGGGGGGGGGGGGGGGGATATCCCCAAAAAATTGGAAATGAGAGAAGGTTGGTTACCCTCCCCACTTTATACCCCAGGAAAGTGATTTAAGGGAAATTTTGAAAAAATTTGGAGAATTTTCCTTTTCGAGTTTTTTTTTTTTTTTGCTTGTAAACTTTTTCAAGTAAGTAGAAAAAATTTTTCTCTGGCTGCCCCCCACGTTCAAAAACGATTCTACGTGGCTGATGAGACACTGTTCACATCTTTAATTAAAATTTTTCATTCTACAAAAACATTGCTGGCACGAAGTGGCTTCAAATTCAAAGACATTGGCACGTATTCATATTGACTTCAAAGCCAGTTTTATATCTTCTTAGTAGTATTCTCTGTAAAGATATTCTTCTTACAAGCACTAAAGTCAATTCCATTCATTGTGTTTGTCAATAAGGACTTTCATTAGATGCAGGCATCTGACCCCGTGTTTCCTCGCAGTAATTGAGGGGGGTATTTCTAGGTTAACCAATCCGACTGCTAGTTAGTGTACAACTAAGGGTGCATGGAAAACGTTTGTTAATAGAGGTAGGTGGATTTTTTTTTTTACTTTATTTATGTGGAAACTTTATTAAAGGTGCTTATAAACAAAATAATGAATATGAAAAATGTGATTTACAGCAAAACGTTTGTCGGACTTATAGAATATAAAAGATTCGTCAAAGAAAACTTATTAGACCAGGTTTAAAATATTTTTTGTTTGTCCTGTCCCAAATCGAGATAAAAAATTTAGGTTGGTAGGTAGGTGAAATTTTTTTTCTCAGAAAATTTCAATTTCAATGCTAAATTTAAAAAAAAAAATCCAGACTACATATAAAATTAATTGTTTCCTGGAAGTTAAAAAAGTTCTGAGTCGGGCCATTTTTATCGAGAGAGGACAACCAAACAATTTTTTAGTGATGTCCTTACAAGGAGATTATTAAATATCAGTTGAAAGCAAAATGTTGGGATAAAGAATCTGAGAGTAAAATATGTCAGGAACTCATTATAGTGCATGTATACGTATCAAATATTCAAGTTTTTATATCTTCATCTATGTATCATGAGGAAGCCTTTAGTGGATGATTTTTTTTTTACTGATTTACAGTAGGTAAAAAAGATTCTTTATTGATAAATAAAACTAAACAGAGAGTACGTGTACTAGTAACCTAGATATAACTGACTGAACACGTGGTGTTATGAATACACTTGCTTTCCGTAGATAAATATTGCCGTATTTATTGGGTTATACGTGCTGATATGAAGTGATATGTGAGCAGAAGAGCGGATTGTAATTGGACATGACAAAACTAAGCGTGTGGGAAATTATCACGTACAATTTGCGTATTCTAAGATGTGCATGTACAGGATAATCGATCGCAAACTGTATTCAACATGACGTGTACAAACTTCATTTATAGTGAATATAAATGTATCTGAAAGCATACAGGACGAATTTTCTTTAGATTTGTTCACAGGAGTTCGCGTACCTATTAACTTTACCGAAGTTTATAAAAATACGCAATACATATTTTCGTAAACTGCATGCAGTGATCGTGTACATATGAATCATTAATTCAAATTTCCAAGTCAAGTAGACTATTTCGTAAACCTATCACTGCCACAGAGACTAAACGAAAACTATCTTACTGGCCTTGAAAAAAAAAAAAGATACATTACATTGAGATATCTCGTCACAAAATGGCGAGAACGTATTGAATATTTTCATTTCATTTTTGGTATTTTACTGAAACAAGACGTTAATGGTAGCCTAACAACAAAGCTAATAAAAGAAAATATCTGCAAACGTTAAAAAAATTAGTGGATTGAAAGAATTGCTTTTGATCTCGGTGCATCAGAATCAAAATTTAACTTTATTTTAAAATTCTGAAATGTAAAATGTGAAATTTAAAATGTTTTTGTTAACAAAATAAATGAAAATGACTTGTAAGCGGAAAGGAGAAAATGCGACCCACTAGACCAGGATGCGAACCCATTCCTCTTCAGCCACATCCCGCTCTGCTTACTAAGGTCTTTGTTTCTGAAGACATCGATCCAAGTTCTGTGTGGTAGGTCTTTCACCCTGCTGTTACTTCGATCCAGGGCGTGACACGGCATAACATGACACCAAATACTGTATAACAAAAGGTCCGACTGCAATGGCCTTAATTGTAGCCTGAGAATAATACACCATGGTAAAAGATACATTAGATTTTAAAATATGATGAAATAAAACCCCCCTAAACAAAAGAAAAAGCGAGATACATGTAGGATAATTAGGGATCACATTTAAAAGATTCGTTAGATTTTAAAGTTTGATAAAATAAAAGGAAGAAGTTATGCCCCTCCCCCACCCCCTAAAAAAGAAAAAGAGATACATGTAGGGTAATTAGGGGGTCACATTTAAAAGATCCATTAGATTTTAAAGTTTAAAAAAAAATGAAGTTATGCCCCCCCCCCCCCCGGAAAAAAAGAAAAAGAGAGATACATGTAAGATGATTAGGGATCAACAAAGTAATTCGTCTAGTACTCGTTAATTTTTTTTAGATATATAAATAATAAAAGAAATATAATTATACAAAAATATTTTTTCTCCTTCCAAAACATTGGTAAATGATCAATACTATACATATTTTCGCAGTTGACCTCGATTCTTTTACACAGTAGGAAGAAAACTAGCCCACTGTATGACCCCATTCCTAAGCATGAAGGAGAATCACCCATTCTCTTTAGGTTTTCAGGAATGTCATATAGATACATGAGATAAACGTGTAATAAATAATTAGCAACATCGTGTACAGCTGATTGTATTACTTGGCAGGGCTTTCTTTGCGGGCGTAGCATTTTGGTCTAGGTTCAATGACTTTTGAACTACGCCATTTTTTGTCTTGTAGAGTATTCTCCCAAAATCAAACGCTTTAGTTGAAACATGCTCAATTTATATTTACATTTACCAAGAACTTCTTTAAGGGATTAAATTTACAATAGTAGAATAGTATATAGGAAATATATGTACGAAAACATAGGAAATGTATGCATACGAAAACATAAAGTATTTAGATTACGTTCTGTTATTATTTTTTTTTAAAAATACTACCTGTACTGATTTTTTTTTTCATTTGTAAAATTAGACCCTTAGTATACAGTTTATTAAAGTATATCGTTGTGGGGATTAGTAAGATTCCAGTCCTTCAAGATTTGACCTCGGGGGATAGTCCTGGCCACGGGGAACTGGAATCTCGCTAATTCCCTTACTTTAACTGTACATGTATATTTATCCCATGACCATCATCAGTTACGATTAATTGTGAAAGACATTACAAAGAAATTTGTCTGGACACCCAAATTCAGTTATTATAAGTCGTGCTAATGATTGTAAATAGGGGCACTATAATTTCATAACTACAATCTGTAATTTGAAAGAGAATATTTTCGGTAGGTACAGTACTTATGTTATATTAAAGTACTGCAATTTAAGAAATACAGTTATATTCATCAATTTTTGGTAATTCTGTATACAAGTTTAATAATCAGCTTTTTAACGATATGAATAAACTGTGAAAATGCCACTTCTCCTTCATTTATAGCCCGATTCCAATGAAATTTTGTATAATTTGCTATTGTCATACGAGGGCTGTTCAATGAATAATGTCCTCGGTGCTCAAAAAGAAGCAAAAGACGCTTTTCAATGATTTAGTCTTCGTGATTTTACTTATTAATCTCTTTTAATTAAAACACACGTCCGTAACATTTTTTATCCAATTTCTGATTGTTTTTAGAACTCATTTTTGGGTATGACCCTTAGAATACTGGAAAATGGCAGATCCAATGATATCCTGGACTTGTTTCTTCCTTCTGAAAGGTGTTTTTTTTCAAGTTTGGAAATAGAAACAAGTCAACGGGTCAAAGATCTGGCGATTATTGTCAATGTGAAAAAAACATTAACTTTCTGTTTATCCCGAAAACCTCTTTACTCTTCAGGGCATGCGGGTTTGGACGCTGTCATGAAGAAATTCAATGTAGTGGATTCCTGTTTCTGGGTCCTTCCTCTAATAAACCTTTCGATTTTTTTGCAAAAAAATTGCTTTCTAGACTCCTTCAGAAATTAAACTGTCTCCCTATGGCACGCCGATTGGTTCAAAATTATTTTCTGCACAACGATCAAGATTTTATACACGAGCTAGATGAAAAATATACACGAGTAAAATAAAAATGCACGTATAGGTAAAAATTGCACATAGTTTGAAAGATTTTAACACAAACATAACGAAAAATACACGAATCCGAAATTTTTTACACGATTTAGTGGTATAATATGCACAAACAAAAAATCTAAAATTGCACGAGCAGAGGAAACTAAAAATTACACAAACAATTTTACTGCGCATACAGCTGCGCATATCATTATTATGCACATAGAATATTCATCGTGTTCTTGGTTTTCTGTACTCTTTATCTCTTCAATCATGTATACTTCACATGTACTTAGCTGGATGTAATCGAGAATGGAAATTAAATGGCGTTGACCGTGGCATGTGCTTTACTTTGCTTTTTTATTTCTTTGCTAAACCTCGATCCGATTTCTAGCTAATGTCAACCAAACAAATGAAGTGTTTTCATGTGTTCTATATATGTGAGAATACTTCAAAGTTTTTCAAAATATTATGTTTTTCTTGTATTGACCATGTTGACCGAGATCCTAACTAATATATGGTAGTATTATTTGATGACAAAAATTGTGACAAGAAGGAATCGTATAATGCGAGGTAAAAAACAACAACATTGCACATGATGCTCTCGACTCCGAACTAAAAGTACCAAACGATAAACAGTGCGGCTGAATAGAATCTTGATTTTCCAAAAAAAAATTGTTAGAATTATTTTTTTCTTATTTTTTTTTATTTAAATAAACTCTCTATAGCTTTTGAAAAATTCTAATTTATTGATACAATTTTAACGGAAATTACTTGTATAAATATAAAATTAACACTTGCATAATCAAACGATTAATAAAGTTGATTATTCATGATATTGGCAGAATTATTGCTGATTATAATCATTAAGCTGTAGAATTAATTTTGGTACTCTTCATTTGTACCTATTTTATTTTCGTGGTAACTAGGGTGAAACGTTTACTGAATTTTGTAAACGTTTAAACGGATAGCAGTAAACGAAACGGTACCGTTTAAACGGGAGATATTCTATACTAGATTTTTATGGCTACTTACTCATGAAACTCGAATTTAATAATCAATTCTTTCACTTTAATATAAGTAAGAGTTGTTATTACAAATTTATTGTTGGCCATTATGATTTAAACGTAAGAATTTGAGGCGCATTAAACTCATTCACTTTCTACCTCGTCACCCAACTGCTTGGTTTGTTTGGCTACCGGACGTAGAAAAAATAATTGTAAAGATGGGTCTTTTCTTTTAATCTCGAAAAAAATAAAACAAGAACCTGCTGACGATATCGAAACTTTTCAAAGACTTGTGAAAAATGTATTATATTTATTTAATCAAAATAATATTTCAAGTGTCGTAAAACATCGCTAGTATTAGCAACTCGGAAATCGGAATTAATTATGTTAGCCCGTATCGGGTTTTAGATATTTTCATTCAATTTGTTTCCGGTTTAGAATGTGATCAAATGGTCAAAGACGGTGTTTCTTTTGTAAATTATGAAATAAAACAATTTGTTTGTGTTAAACTTTATTTCTGATAGACATTGATAATGACCTTCGTGTAAACGTTTACTCAAACTGTAAACGTTTAGAGCATATAATCGAAACGTTGCCGTTTACACGTGTAATCGTTTCGCCCTTATTACCACTCGGAATAGGAAATTATATATACCTTTATTCATTTTATTCGATATATATTTTTTAACTTAAAAAAACTTGGTATTACCTTAGATGTACACAGCATGTATTTAGATCTAACGTCAAACATAAAAAATATTTTATTCTAATAACACATGTATTCATACTTATAAAATATCAGGATGTCAGTTTTGGTTGGAAATCTTCAGCATACTTTGTTATGAATTCCTTCCATGAAATCTCATATTTTCAGTTATAAGCTACTTAATAAAAACAAAACATTTATTGTAAGCGTTACCCTCATTCGTAATGACGATTACATGATAAATGTTTTCAATTTAATAAAAAGGACCAGATGAAAGGAGAATATATATACTCTATGAGCTTTATGTACATGCGCTTTTGTGTTTTGTAACTTTTAAAACATTGTGATTTACTAAGTACATCTATGCTTACAATGTTACAAATAGGAAGCAATAAAAAAATTAGAATGGATACAGCAATTAAATAGAACGTGTTTTATCACTCTTGAAAAATGCTAATAATTTATGTTCATTATGCATGGAGCTCGATGTGTGGCAACTATTTTCCAAGACAACAAATTCTGTTACATTTCAAATTTGACTTCATGATTTTTGAAATTATTTTCCAAACACTAAGTTTCTTGTAAGATTACTTTTTTTTTTTACCCATGAAATACATGTAAATGGCCATTATGAAAAAAACACAGGCCTTTAGATCGCTTAGAAAAAAAATTGAGGTGTTGAAAAAAAAATATATTTTTTTTTACACACACAATTTTTTTTAAGCGATCCAAAGGCCTGTGGAAAAAAAGAACAGGATTATACACATGTACTTGTATTATTATGAAACGAAATTAATCGTCAATCAGGCCTGTAGACCCCCCCCCCCTCATTTTCGAGTATAGATTTTGCTATAGTAAATTTTCCTTTACATGCTGGTTGACCCCAACCCCCATTTTTAACTGTTGTTAGGTCGAGCGCAGGCAAATCCCAGGATATCGTACATGTACCCTTAAATTCTTAAAAATATATTTCCGGCACGTAGCATCAGAAGGGACCTGCCCCCCCCCCCACCCCCTTCATTTTTTTTTGTAGTTATTGTTGTTATTTTTGTGCAAACAGAATCTACTTCCATTGTAAAATTTCAACTGAAAAGCCCCCTTTTTTCTTGCTGGATTGGAATTGAAGGTGCCTCGATAACTACCTCAACGAAATAGGATTTTCGAGATTGGACGCTTTACCTTTTTTCTGCTTGTTAATTAGAATGTTTAGGTATAATTTGCCCCCCCCCCCTCCTCACTTTAAAAAGCGATACTAAATGTGTATCAGCATAATATAATTTTAAATTGTTTAACTCCTTTATATGCATCTTACCTATTCAAAATAATCTACAGTAGAAAAACAGAAATTCACATAAGTAAAACACTGTATAATTTTACTACGAGTTATTTTTAAAAAAAAATGATGTATTCGTTTAATATTAAAATTAAAGTTGCGCAATTATTTGCTCGTTTTTTTTTTTCTGTTTACTTCTAAAAATGTATCGGGCAAATTCCACAACCCAGATGGCAGCAACATTGCTTAAAAATCTCTGAATGAATTGCTAGTAACCTTCAAACAAAAGGTATTATTGATGTGTCGAATAACTATAAACGATTAGCGTACAGGTGTCTTTCATTCCAGCACCAGCAGGGAGCCAGGAATCTCTCGATATGAAAAGGTCACGCATCCACAACCTTAATTATTACGAAAGTACACACAGTGGGTGGTGGAGGAAAAGAGTTTCATTTGTTGTTAACTCTCCTGTATATTACCTCACGCTGTTTTTATTTATCTACCTTTACTATGATATTATCATTGTTTTTATTGCTATTTAGAGGAATGACATAAAAAATCTAACAATTAAACACGTAACTGATAATATATATGCACCCCCCTTTTTACGTTTCTATACCTGACTGTGTAGAATGTTTTTAATAGAGGGGTGAACTAATTTATATGCATATTGTGTACCTGTCAATTTTTAAATGTATAAAACACAATGTGCATATTCTTGAGAGTCTAGCGTAATTTTGAAAGACAATCTTTTTTAAAAGATTGAATAAATATTGTAAACACATTACTCATCCTCTTTTTATAACATTTCAAGCCACACTGAGCTGTTCTCTAATGAATATTAATGAAATGTGCGCAGTGAGGATGCGCTGTATATTGTGTCGATGTTGTATTCTCACTTGTGCAGTTTTCGTTTTTACGTTTGTGTAATTTTCTCATTAGATCGTGTTAATATTTTTTTGATTGTGTAGTTTTTGTATAGTTTGTGTAAATTTCAATAACTTTGTGTGTATTTTTCCCACTTTGTGTAAGTTTTGACTTGCTCGTGTAATTTTTGTTTAAGGTCGTGCAGAAAATATTTTTGAACCAATCGGCGTGCCATATCTCCCCGTATACGAATTTGAACAACAATACACTAATATTTAAGAAAATTGCATATAAATCTGTCTTTGTGCCCTTGCATACCTTTGCTCTTGTCAGACCTTCGCCGTTTTTATCGAGTAAATCTTATGGTAAATTTTGTCTTGAGGGTTTTAAGCAATAGATTTATGTTCCAATATCTGTTTGAATATAAAACAAACGTGGATAACTACAATTACTGATATTTTAAAATAATTGTTAAGACTTTCGTACACGCTGCCGTTTTCACTCATTTTTCAAAATATAGGGTGACCTTTGAGTACCAAGCTTTTTTTTACCGTCAACCGTTTCTTAAAAACAGTGTAAACTACTCCCGATATGATGTCTATCAAATTTGCTATGTGTCTTAAAGTCAATCATATATCATCAAATATTATTTGTTGAAATTTACATACGTTGTTACAATTTTTGTTGGCAAAGGCGGTACCCATTTTTGATGCCCATTATATAATTTTTTATCTTTGAAATCCACTTGCTCATTTGTCTATAAAACAGGCATTGGTTACTGTAAATGTCACATATTTCAGTAAATATTTCTTTTGGATTTTAAACAAGTTTTACGACAGCTTTAATGAAGCTTTTTTTCACTCTATTTTACTGATTCTTTACCATTCATTTATAATGCAGTGTCCCGAATAGCCCTTGTTTCCCAGCTTCTTACGATGAAACTATGTGATGAAAAGTGGTCACATAAACTGTTATAAATTCATTAAAGATTCAATAATGAGAGAAAGTCAAGTTTAATGTCATAATTATGATGTCTGTTTTGTATGTCATACAGTTTAGGACATTATTTATTGAACAGCCCTCGTAGTCCTGTATGATGGTTTTGATCAAAGCGAACGCGGTGTTGGTAGGTTTATACTAGAATTAACTCGTATAGGAAATCTTTCCAAAATCTACCCCTCCATCTGTTTCCCCCTGATTCCAAACATCATAATTCTGTTAATCGGTGTTACCAAAGATACTAATGTTTAAGTCAAAGTACCTAGTATTTTTCTCCTCTTTAACTATTAGTATAAACCAGTAGAGCTACAGCATTGTCAGATACAAGTACATGTACTTTTTGTTAATTATCGTTAACATCCGGGAAAATCTTGTTTTTGTTATCAATAACTCAAAAAACAAACAAACAAACAAACAAAACACAAAAAAAGAAAAAACATCACACACACGGGATAATCAGTTATGTTAAATTATATATATATTAAGAGGATGGCTTGATGGGTGCATTTAAAATTGCAAATTGTTCTTATTCTCTGCCTTTGAATACATTAATGGGAACCTGTTTTTGAATATTGTGAGGCCTGTACACATTTTTTAGACAGGTCCGACGTCTACTACATTATTGTATTTTTTCCGGGATGGTATAACTTAAAATTCGGTTAAAAGGGTAGGTGATGGGTTTTTTTTTTTTGTTGTTGTTGTTGTTTTTTTTAAATACGGAATCAATAATTTCAAATAATACAGTATCTTTCATTAAAAAATATTTTCAATTTACAGTAATTTTGCATTTTACCTTTTTAAAAACAACGTTAATTCGTGACGTTACATTATGGATTAAGGTATATTTCAGATGACCTTAGATGATATTAATGCCATTTTTTATATCTTAGCTAACAAATGCCTAGTAGTTGACCAAATCTTCCTCGTCTTATACGGTTTCTAATGAAATGTTTGGATAATTTTAATTCATTCTAGTTTCTACTTTTTAAAAAAAATCTAGAACAAGATACAGCATTGTTGCATCAACACAATCAACAAGACAAGATGGACCTTAATGATAAATTTACAATTAGTGATGATAATCAAACCCAGGAGTCCGAGGAGAGAGAAAAATGGGACAAGAAGGCGGAATCCATTCTCTCTATGCTGGGTTTCTGTGTGGGTCTGGGAAATATTTGGCGTTTTCCTTATCTCTGTATGAGAAATGGCGGCGGTGAGTTGAAAATGCATTAACAGTGTCCATTTTTCTGGCAAGTAGTATTTAACAAAAATAACGTTTATGAATAGATATGTACGGAAGCGTATTAGTGCCACGCAATATTTTTTTTAAAAGTCGGTATTCCAACTTTAAAGTTGGAAATTCCAACTTTAATCTTGGTAATTCCAACTTTAATCTTGGAAATTCCAACTTTAATCTTGGTAATTCCAACTTTAAAGTTGGTAATTCCAACTTGGCTTTTCCAACTTTTTTCGGTTTTATGTATTATATTGTCTGAGATACTTTGCAGCTAATCGTGTTACCGTTTTATACATGTAATTGAAATGGAAATATACAATTTTATTATGAAATGATGATTTTAGAAGGAATCATTTTATTGTGCATGGCCGTAGGAGCCGGAGGAGGTGCATGGGGGCGTGCCGACCCCCTCATCAATAATACAATAAGATGCAGACATATAATATTGGTAGTTGGTTGTTGATAGTGATACTGAAAATATTATGTTTTTTAAAGCTTAATAAATGTCCGATCTCTTAATGTGTTAGGTTGAAATCCTGTCACGGAGTTGACTGAAAGTCTATTTATATTTATACGAGGGTTATGTACTTTTTTCCTGAAACAGCTGCGACATTAATTCCCGTACTATCAACCAAAGAAAGCATTTTATTATTTAATATATAGGACCAGAAGAAACATACGGATTTCTAATTAAAAGTTGGAAGTTATGTGTAAGGTCATAGCAGGTCAGGGTAAAAATAAACTGACACAGATAAAAAGTATTCACCGATTTATTTCAATGTACTTGTATAATTATATTAACTTTATTAAGCATAATTCAAGTTTTATACCATAACTCCCTATGGAACCGTCCGCCCTTCTTAAAGGGTCTATCTTCTGCAACATCCCCCCCCCCCTCCAATCTAAGTTGCGAAAATTTATTGATAACCAGTCTATTCCAGTGTATTACATTAACATTAATAAAGTTTGTAATGGTTTAAAATAAAAGGGAAAAACTAAAAAAAAAAAGGGGAGGGAGATCTCAAATCAAAGTAGGAATTACCAACTTTAAAATTGGAAAAGCCAAGATTAAAGTTGGAATTACCAACTTTAAAGTTTGTATTACCAAGATTAAAGTTGGAATTACCAACTTTAAAGTTGGAAAAGCCAAGGTTAAAGTTGGAATTTCCAACTTTAAAGTTGAAAAAGCCAAGATTAAAGTTGGAATTACCAACTTTAAAGTTGGAAAAGCCAAGATTAAAGTTGGAAGTTGGAATTATCAACTCTAAAGTTGGAATTACCAAGATTAAAGTTGGAATTACCAACTTAAAAAAAATATTGCGTGGCACCAATATTGTGTTGGGATATTTTTACAGTGTTTTTATGGATATTTTTATAGCACTACACAGATATTTATAAAAAATGAAAATTTTACAGCATTTTACGGGATATTTAATGTTTTTGAACTTCTGTTGACAGGGGCCTTTTTATTACCATTCCTATTCTTCCTCTTTTTCTGTGGCCTTCCTCTGTTCACGCTAGAAGTGACCATGGGTCAGTTCTCAGGCAAGGGGATAGTCAAAGTCTGGGACGTGTGCCCCCTCTTCAGAGGTAAGTGTCGTAAATCTTTGAATTATTTCTTCAATTGAAAAGAGATTTTCTTCAGATAGGTAGTATAGTTTTTGGAAAAAATAGGTGGGGAATATTTGACAACTTACCAGGCAAAAATTTGACATTGAAAAGGGAAATTGTCTGAATTCCAAAATTTTATGTGGTGATCGAGGTTGGGGTCCAACTTTTTTCGTAACCAGATTTAAATAATACTATTACACCAGTATACTGTCTTAATGTTATAAAGGACGTTTTCTGTTATATGTTTCACTGAGATACCTTTTCTTTTTCAGGAGTGGGGGTTGGAATCTCGATTCTATCTACGATCTCGTGCACATATTATATCGTTATTATTTGTTGGACAATTTACTACCTTATAAACTCCTTCAAGTCGCCTCTACCCTGGACTCTGTGTGGACAGGAGTGGAACACGCCCCTGTGTGTACTGACTGGACATCGGGGGTCCAGGGTAAATGACACCATTAATAACTTTACTTCACAACACGGGAACCTATCTACGTTTGATGTGTACCAAAACATGAGTCAGCATGTCATATACAAAAATCAAAGTGCTCTGATTGCAACACCGGAAGAGGAATTTTGGCAGTGAGTAGTAAAAATTAAAATTCATTGAGATTTATCATACCAAATTTTAACAATTTAAGAAAAATTATAAATATTATATTCTGAATCTCGTCTTGTGTTTATTTTTCAAATTTGATTGAGAGGTCATTTTAATTATCACTGAACTTTTTAACAGAGGAAGTGTTCTTCATTTGTCATCAGGACTGGAAGAAATAGGGAAGATCCAGTGGCATTTAGCTTTGTGTTTTCTTGGGGCCTGGGTGCTTGTGTACTTATGTATTGTCAAAGGTGTAAAAACGGTCGGAAAGGTAACATCTCTTCATGTATTTAATTAATAACTCCAAAATAAAGCTATTTAGTTACAAAGCCCCATGAAAAGAGTTTATTTTTAAACTTACACCATCAAAAACCCTTATTTCTCTTGGAAGTTTTATTTACCACGTATACAATGTATATTTTTAAAAATTAAATATTAAAACAGTAACTTCGAAAAAAAAATGTTAAAAAAACTGTCAGTTACATGTACTATAGTATTATTGTTATATAAGCGCAATGTTCTGAGAACAATAAAGAATGTGTATAACCTCAAACAGGTCATGAGAAATGTACAACGTTTGATATTTGTAGGAATACAGGAAATTACTTTCACAGTAACAATTGTTTTACAGGCTGCACGTGTCTTACCCAATTTGCCCATGTTCGCATAGCGACGAACTTTACGTTTTCTTATAACCTTCTATTATTTGTTCCAAAGTGTTACAAATTCAAAGATTTGGTCAATATCTTTAATGCATATGGCTAGATAATTTTCTGATTGTTATTATGTGAAAGATTTCTTTCTTTGTAGGTAGTTTATGTGACCGCGACTCTTCCATATCTTCTTTTGATTGTTATACTGATTCGTGGCCTTACATTGCCTGGGTCCGTTGACGGAATTCTGTTTTACATTACGCCAGATTTTGAGCGTTTGAAGGATGGAAAGGTACACGATCTATTTCTGGGTTTTTTTTCTTCTGTTTAATCATCCACCATTTCTGTCATTTGAGTTCTTCCATGTTTTGCAAAGTTCTCAATGTATCAATTTACATAAAAAATATAGTATTTCATTAAAGGTTCCAATTTGTTCCAATGTTTTGCAATGAAAATATAATTTCAAACCATCTGACTAGGAGAGGACACCACTTTGAGGTCAGACGGTCTAGGAATAGGTTTTGAAGCCAAGAGCTGAAAAGGCAAAGGTCACAATTAATATACGGTATAAAAATCAAAGTATTCAGAAGTACAGAGAGCCGGGCTCATTTACAGAGTAGAATGGATTTCTTACATGAATCACGTTTATATTCTGATGAAAAAATTATTTTAAAACTATCAATATAAATGATAAGACACTGACAGTGAGTTTTTCAATCCTAATACCACGGTCCGATTTTGTCAGAATCAGAATTAATCTGGTACCGCAGCTGAATGTAAACAAACAGGCCAGTCTGGTTCCCTCTCCTGCTTTACCTCGTACATGTATGTGTAGAGAACTACGGTAACACTGATTATCAAAAATCCTTACGCTAATAAACTATGTTCTTTGACTTATGAAGTTTTCAAAGTCATTACTACTATTGTTTATTTTATATAGATAAAACTTCGTTTTATTTTTGTTGCTTTATTTAGCGTTTGTTTTATCTCAAAAGCGGTTGAGAGTAAGAACTATATTTTTGCACGTAACTTTAAAATGGCGACTATGGGTCAACATCCTGCCTTGAACAGGATCACATAAGCCGGCAACTGCTCTTTGAGCAATAAGCCCGGCTAAAAATGATTCTCAATGTACTTAAGTAGTGTCTTTAAAAATAAACATGAGCCCTGTTCATACGGAGGTCAAAGGATTTACGACAAAAACGTGTTCATTTTTTACCCACCGCATATTCTGTCCTTGAGCCGTATGGGATGTAAGTTCCATCAATTCGCGTGTTAATCCTGAAATATAATGCGATTTTTTAAAATGAATAAAAAGGTCCAATTTTTCTGTTTTCGACAAAAAAGAGTGACATGTTATGCTTTCAAAAAAAAATATAATAGCGATGAAAATGTCCAATTATATCCAAATGCAAGTTCGAAATAGTATTCCATTGATATTATGAAATATTCCTGCGGGGAGGGGGGGCTCATGTGTAAAAGTACACAAGTCTTCATATTTGGCATAATTATGGGTCAAGGTCAACGATTCATTGTCCATGGTCACATTCTACCTTTCTGTTTCATGAATATAGCCCTTGTATCTTGTACTAGGTTTGGGCAGAGGCGGCCATTCAGATTTTCTACTCCAGTGGTATTGTATGGGGAGCACTGATAACTATGGCTAGCTACAACAAATTCCATAACAACTGCCTCAGGTACTGTTAATAAGCTTATAATTTATCAGACTTAAAAATGAAGTTTTGATTCTTAGAACATTTTGGCTGATACATTTCGTTAAAAAGTCTAGTCATTTCAATATTGAATTAATTTTTGGGAAAGAAAAATGCTTTTATTTTTTTTAGGGGGGAGCTTTCGGAAAAGTAAGAACCAAATGAATAGATTACAAAAGTATTTCAAATGAAAACTCCGTTTTCTTAGCCCTTTTTTTCTTTTTCTTTCTTGTAGAGACTGTTATGCTCTGGCACTGGCGGGAGAGGGAACCAGTATATTTGGAGGATTCGTTGTTTTCTCAATCTTAGGATACATGGTACATGAAAACGGTGTCCCGATTGAGAAAGTCGTCAAATCAGGTTGATATTTCGGATATTAACTATACACTGTACTTGTTATTAACCTTCGCAATAACAACGATACGTAAAACACGTAAGCTCAGAATTTAATAGCTGCAGAACTGTAGCTCTCCGAAAAAAATATTGATAGACCGGAGATCTGGTCTTTAAATTTATTTTTTTTTCGAAGAGCTACAGTTCTGCAGCTAAAAATTTAATTAGTGTATTTTTTGGCTTTGTTTCATCCACAGGACCAGGATTGGGCTTCATAGCCTACCCAGAAGCTCTGGCTAAGCTTCCTCTTTCCAATCTCTGGGCTGTTGTTTTCTTTATTATGCTACTGACTGTAGGACTGGATAGCACGGTAATGAAATGTTTGAATTCATAAGCACATAAGCTGAAACATTATACCATCACTTGTAAAAAAAATATGTCTTCTAGAAACAGCCATTCGCTCTGTAATGATTGACCTCAGAATTCATAAAAGAGAGACAACCTTGAAAACATTTTGTTCAGCATTTTTCCTCATAAATACAGACTCGAGTCCCCTATGTAAAGCAATTAAAATATTCCTAATTACAATAATATCACAAATTAAATCTTCTTTTGAACCTTCATTCATTTCTTTTAACTAACCTTAGAAGTATTCTTATCCGCTTGATATTGTAGTTCGGAACTATTGAGCCTGTTTACACAGCACTGTGCGATTCCTTCCGCATTTGGAGAAAACGCCGAGCGCTACTGACTGCAATTTTCTCCGGGGTGTGTTTCCTTGTCGGATTAATCATGTGTACTGAGGTAATAACGGAAACGTGTTCCCACTGTACTTTGAATATGAAAAGATGATTTAAAAAAGAGCATAAAATACGATTGTTAAAAAGAAAATTACAAGACTGGTGATGCGATTTTTTTTTCCAATTACGTAAAATGCAGAAGTTAGGCAAGAGGCGGAAGTTGGTTTAAGGGTCACTGTGTTACCAAATACGTCCAACCTTTTTATCGAGATTATGATTTTATTTGAATAATTTTTTTTTAATTGCATTTTACACATTGATGGTGCTATATAATAAATTGTGCGTGTCTTGTTTATAGGGAGGTATGTACGTGTTCCAGCTCATTGACTGGTATTCGGCAGCCATTGCAGTGCCACTCTTCGGATTTTTTGAATGCATAGTATTTGGTTGGATTTATGGTAATTATAAGCTTTGGTAGCCTTCAAAAATATTTTTATGGAAAATCTATCAATCGATAAAATGTATTATTAATACAAAGTCATTTTGATATGTGTTTAAAATTATGTTACCGATTTACAGGAGCTGAAATGTTCTCGAGAGATGTTGCTTTAATGACTGGACATGGAATTCCGACAATTATCAGAATTTCTTGGTGTTTTATCACTCCTCTGATTCTATTGGTATGTGTATATTGACTATATTCATAAACAGAAAGCAAACACACAATTTATATCCTTAATAAAAGCCGTACATAATTTGGAATAAAATTCAATAAATTGATTACACATTTTTATTATTAGATAACCATGATAGTGACCCTTAACTCGTATGTCCCTCCCGAGTACGGTACATATAAGTACCCCGACTGGGCTCAGGGGTTCGGCTGGTTTGTGGCTGTGATCCCTCTTCTACCTATCCCCCTCTTAGCCTACAGAGAAATTAGACTCGCATCTGGAAGCACGTTTTGGGAGGTTGGTCATGTTTTTAATTTTCTTATGTGATTGTACATTAATTGCAACATTTGGTAGTTTGCACTTCTATAGGTGTATGTACATGTATCTTCATTTACTCTTAGATCTATATATACGTAATGATACGTGCCCGTGCTGAAATCGGAATTTTAAAAACACTCAGAATCAGTATTTGTGTGCCTCTAAAATGCATGGATGTGATTTTTTTTTTGGTTTTAGTATTAAAATATTACAAGACAAATGAGCTAGCTAGTTTTTAGTTTATTTTGTGGCAACATAATTATTATGCTTTTGTTTTTTTTTTAACTCTCATATTTAAATTTCCAGAAGTTAAGAAAATCGCTGCAGCCAAACGAACAGTGGGGTCCTAATCATACGGAAGAGAATAAAAGATACAAGTCAGAGATACGAAAACTCAAAGGATCATTTCTACAAAAAGTGATACTTAATCTGACTGGCAGGGAATTAGTATGATTAGACATGTAACATACGACCTTAAAAATATCTTAAAACTGTGATAACCAGTAACTTTTTTTCTAAGAAATATACCGATACATATTTGCATTATTTGAGTCTGTATCGCATTTTTTACGGAAATAAAATGATTTTTTATGTGTATTTTAAGAACAGTTTGTATTCAATTCATTGTGAATTTGGGATGGACATTGTCTTGGTATACAAAAACATCCGTATGATCTTATCCCAGTCCAAATGGTATACTGCAACCCATTGCCTATTACTGCTACGGCAATAATCTTTCTCATTCGAGAAGTGTTCATTCATGTGATTGATCCACGCCTGCACGATCATTTGTTCAATTAAGGAAGGAAGCATAACAGACGGACGGACATCCCGATCACTATATATCTATATACACTCTCCCACTTTTTTAGAGGGGGGGGGGGATAATAAAAGAATACAATTATTGCGCGCATATATCAGTTAACGCATTAATGCGTGCAAAAGTTAAAATTATAACTAACTTTTGCACACATTTATGCGTTTACTGATATGTACATGTAAATTATTCGTATTAAAGAGAATTCAATTGTTACATGACTGTATATACACATCAATTGAGCAAATTATTAATCCGTGATATCATCTTCTGCATTTATACCCGTTCTATTTTCGAATTAAAGATAAATTTATTATTTTTAAATATATGAATTCGTCATTTGAAAAGATCTTTAATTGTATTGTGCGAATAAAACACTAACAAATGAACATTTCTTCAATTAATCAAAGATATCTTCATTTTGTGTTGTTGAGGCTCTCCATAGTGAAATTGTTTGTACAGGCACATGTATTTATCACCATCTGTTCCCAACAAATCAATTTAAGAATGAAGTTTGCGATAGATTTTCAATCAGGTCTTTGTTGTTGAAATTAAGCACTATATTAATAATAGTGTCTTACCGATTAAAAAAATATTTAAGTTTTTGTTTTTCTCATTTTATCCATGGAAAAATATCTAAAAATATGAAATACCAGCTAGTTTTATTTACTTTATTGTCAATGATCATTTAAAAAGAAATCGTTTAATTCTAATCTTTATATCTCTTCTTTCTCTCTTTTTTGAAAAAGCGACATTCTTATTCTCTTCCAGGTAAATTCCTCAGGTTTCATTAATTGTAAAAAAAGGAAGTATTTTCTTTTACCAGATAACCTATGTGTAGTTTAATATCCTCAAGCAATCGGATTTATAGATTATTTTGCATGATATTAATTCTACAATTTTATCTGTGTCCCATACAGTAGTTAAGTGGCTCCATAGCTCAGTTGGTTAGAGCGCCTGTCTAGTAAACAGGAGGTCGAGGGTTCGACTCCCCCTGGAGCCTTTTTTTTGTGTTTTTTTTTTTTATCCAAGGAAATTATTCTAAAATTCGATATATCAGTTATATTTTTAATTTAACTAGATGCGTTAATTTATATCTTAACACTTAGCACAATTTAACCCCCCCCCAAAAAAAAGAAAACGATAAAAATAAATCATCAATAATTGAATAAAATTGAAATTAACACTATTTTTTTTTTTTAATTCCTTTTACTTCAATGAAGTATTTTTAAGTGTAAGTTTCAAAAAATGCATAAGCAGCATCACTTCGTAATATTCAAATCTTGTGCTTCTTTTTTACAAAGGGGTGTGAATATCTGTTATTTTACCCTTGTCAACTTACAAATGTCGACTCCCTCAAAAGAAAAAAATCATAAGTGTCCTTTTCTTTCTGATATAAATTTATTTTTGATTAGCTTACCTGAGCCGAATCAAGGTTCAGCTTTTCTGATCATATGTTGTTGTCTAAGTATTCTTTTCTGTGAACTTATCACATTTCGCCTCTCTGTCCAGTACTTGGTCAATTACAACTAAACTCAATGGCATAAAGCGTCCCTGGGTAATAAGAATTCAAGGGAATTAAGGTCTATTCAAACCGTTGAAAAGGGAGATAATTCAGAAAGACTAGAAAAACTATGTTTAGGACAATTTCCAGTTTAGTTTAGACTTTCAGTAAGGCGTGGCATTCTCGACGTTACATAATTAACTTCTGTTTACATGCCAGAAAAATGATCAAGAAGTCAAATGAATTCACTTTCAAAGAGTTATAAACTTATCAGAGAGAAAACAAATCGAAATGGTAATATCAAAAAATCAATTCAAGTAACTTTCAAAGAGTTATCAAAGAGAAAACAAACTTTATTGAAATGGAAATATAATTGTAAATTAACTGATACCATGTTTAAGGCATTGGATCGCATTAACATACATGTATTTCTGTAGCCGCCTTGTTTGTTTTCCATATATCTCTGTCCGAATTTTTAGTTCCAGGGAACTAGATAGAATTAGTACAATTCTCCAATTCTCAGTTAACCTTGGATATTCAGAGGGGCGTGACTCTCGACAATACGTCTCTCAAACGTCGAATAGATTCTCATTGGTTAAGAAGTTAATAACAATAGCAACTTTAATTTGTTGTTGAAAAATGATGAGACGACTTAAGGTCCACCTGTTTGTCATACGAAACACTATCATTGGATCATTTATACACTTTATGACATTCGCCGGAATGTATATTTCAACTGTGAATGAAAGGTTGTGTAAATTTCAGACGCAAATAAGGTAACGTCGAGAATACCACGCCTTACTGGAAGTCCAAGCTTGACTGAGAATTGTACTACCCTGATCCGGAAAACCCATCGGAACAGACTGATAGACAGACAGAGGGATGGAGAGTCGCAGAGGAAACCTAATACGAAAGATAATTTTCATCTGATTTTTTTGTATCAAATTGACCTAATGAGCATATGCCAAATAAAAAAAAAGCGAGGCTCCAATTCATTTTGGTGAAACACAGCATCTGGTAATTATGTTGTTTTTTTTCTGATTGACAGGTTTTGTCATGTTTGTAAAAACAACATTTTTTTTATTTACTACAAACAGCACAAGTCAATTCTCTACCAGCCACATAAGGGGGACAAGGCAGGGATCGACAGACGGTTTCTACCATGTATAGGACAGCCCCATTGGTGTTGCTGGAACTATTTGGAATAACATCTGGATGTGCATCAACACAGATATATTCCGATTCTCCTGGATGGCGGTGAGCATTAGACATCAGATACCCGGAATACTCCAGATGCCAGTCATCGTAGCAAACGTTCCTGGCGGGGATCACGAGGGAGGTAGAGTGGGGGGTCAGGCAGACGGCACAGGGTACATCCGAGTCGTGTGTATCGGTGTTAAAAAAGTACCCTCCTTCATATTCTACCCCCATTATCCAGCCAGAGTAAGAATTCACTGAGTCATGATGTATGCCCCACAACGGATCATCCGGCAGGCAGAGAAAGTTTACACCAGATCCTGTCTCATTGTATGGATGGCCACCGGCAAAACCTATAATAATAAGCATTGGTTGCTGTATTTTTTGAAAACGATTATCATCAAATCATTGATATCAAAATAGCAAAAAAAAAATGAATAACATAACTTTTATACATCAAAGTTCTCAGAAATTGGAAATGAATGCCCAGATTCTAACAAATGGATGAAAAGGGACAGTGATAGATAAAAAAAATCTATAAGCACTATAAATCTGCAAAAAGGAATGAAATATGGGCCCCTGGAAATTCCAGTGATGGGATCAGGTGCCTAGGAGGAGTGAGCATCCCCAAGCTACGTGTATTATAGTTCTATTGCATCCTTACCTCGATAAATCAGCGTAGAGCCCGCTGGACAGCTATGTCGTCCCCATCGCGTGTAAGATGACAAAGGAGTGGACACTACACAAATATATTTAAACAATTTACAAGATATGACATTCCTAATTTTTCTAGCATCTGGGCTCGTTTTTTCAATGACGTTTTCCAATATATATCGTTCTGATGCAAAGCGTTTCATGATTATACTGTACATGTACTGAAAATATTTGATTAAGAATTGATTTCGAATATACTAACCAGATGCCCCTTGTTGTTTCAGCTGAGTCACCTCCGACTTTAACTGCTGTAATTCCGTTTGTAATTTCTGAACCGTTTCTTGTAACACAGTTTGATCATTTACTAACAAACGTTTGTCCTCTGATTTTGAGCACAGACAAGGAATACTCAGAAATAAAACCCACACAGGAAAGGTCATTTTTCAAACCAGAGATAAGATTCCCTCTGCTTATTGCTAGGTAATATGTCTCAATGTTATTGTGTTATGAAGTGTTACATTACGAGTACCGCTGATAACATATCTTTCATAATTAGAGTTTACTTAAACAATAAAATGCTTTCTTTGTTTGTTATTACTGGAATTAACGGAAGCAGCTGTTGCAGAAAAAATACTTTTACGCGGGTTATGTAAATTTTTTTTGCAATAGCTGCGACCGTTAATTCCAGTAATAACAAACAAAGAAAGACATTTTATTGTTTTAATTTTATCTGTTTAAATAATCATTTAAAGTAGGATTAAAAAGATTAATTATTGTATTAATGATGCAAAAGTCTTTATATGTTTCATTGATGGAAGAGTCACTGAATAAGAAATCTGTACAGGCGACATGCCGACTGTAGTTCATGCAGTGATTAACGCAATGGGTTTTCTTAAGAAATAAAGGAGAAAATATTCAGCGGATGTAAATATATATAAGCAAGGAATCCTTTTTGCTCCTAGGCACCAATTTCCACCCCTGTTACTTCCAGGGTGTATATGTTTTTACCCCATTTACGATTCGTTTTGTATATCGAATATGAGAGATTGATTACTACTAGTATTCGTTGTACATGAATTAACAATTTACATATGGAAATTTTTTTAACCAAAAAATCCTAAAACGTTTACATACATTGATAAGGACATCTTTTAAAAATTGTTTCGTTGCCCTCTCCCGGCCGACTACATGGATAAATTGGTCAGACTCTAAACTTTTCTTACCTTCCAGAACACAATTTTTTTTTCATTTTATTCCTCTTATCCCGTCATCAAATATGTTAACATTTTCTGGTACAAAGATTTTCATAGACGGGCCTAATAATTTTAATCTGAGTCGGGAGAAGGGAAGCAAACATTATTTTAAAGATGGCCTTATCCAATATGGCATTTTATAAATGATGAAATTTCATGGTACAATTATGAACAAAGCAGAAGTACTACTACAAGTACTAATATCTGCCATTTCTAAAATTTAAAATGTGTGTGAGCTTCACTTTCAGTATTAAACATGACAAAATCTTGAAAATAAGTTTGTCAAATTCGGTGATTAAAATAAACATAGAAGAATATAGCGATCCAATCTGGCATTGACATTGATTTTAAATTTGTAAATAATATGAAAGCATTTTATGATAATTCAGGCATAAAATGATTGGTAATTTAAATTCTAAGCACTTCCGCCTCATATTCATCTTTAATATAAAGGCGCTATATTTAATATAACCCAAGACTCGTGACAACCAATAAAATTTCAAATCACAGAAATCCCAATAGAAATTTTATTACAAACATTTATATCACAGAAAACTTTCAATACATATAGAAGGCTGTAAAATTTACTGACAGTAAATACGGTAATATAGGTTTTTGAGAAGTCTTCAGTAAAATCACAGACAAATATATATACAAATGTACATGTATATGAAATAAATATGCCATTATTCTCATAACAATATGCCTATATAGACCTTGAATGTCACATGAGTGTCATATTGTCTAGCTTATGACCAACTTGACCCAAATATGAATTATTCTTGACTTGTGTGGCATAAATTTGGAGGGGCCTTACTTTCATTTTCACAATTTACACAGTTTGTTCAGGAGAAAACAAGATTTTGGTACAGATCTACCGTATAAGCAGAATTTTTAGCGAGGATTTAATTTTGGTATTATTAGCCATTAGCCATTATTAGGGTGATGAAATCGCTAAAATTGAATATGGCTAAAAATAAATTTCACTTTATTTGTAAAAGCTTCTTTAGTGAACTTTTTAATTTAAATCTCTAAAATTACATCGCGCTAAAAATAGAATATACCAATTTTTAAGGACAAATTGCTAAATTTGCGTCTCGCTAAAATTTCCACTTATAATATGGTAATACATTTTAAATATATGATAAGCTTAGAGAAACACAGGGCCTGAGCTTTCCTGGCGCACATTTCAAAATTTGACAAAGGGCATAACTTACTAGTACTTCCATCAAGCAAACAGTTCCCCTGCTTAATATCACAGAAAAATTATAAAGTTGAACTGTATAATGTTTTTTTTTCATATATGACCGAACTTTTCAAAGATATTTTCCAGAGATGGACAACTAACATGTAGCACTATCTTAATTCCCATTCCTTGAACTCAGGGGCCAAGAACTTCATTATGTTTGCTACAGATTAACAACAAAAAAGTCTGTAGATGTCAAGTAGTATATGAAATTTTTATGCCTTCAATCTGTCTCTCACATGTTCTAAAAGACTAGGAACATATGGATTTTGCAATTATAGTTCTCCCTCAGCCAAAATCAGTTGAGCCATTTTTGAGAAGAACCTAAACATTTTCAAAATTTTACAGACAACATACAGCAACAGATGGCAACAGAAACAGAAAGCAATAAAGTCACACAAGTCACTTTGGTGACTTGAAAATGCTGGTCTCTTACATGCACTTCACAAAGCAAATCTGTACAAAAATTATTGAATTGTTTCTGGTTAGAATCTGATGGCTTCCTCAGAGGCCTTGAATTTAAAGACTTCGTTGGGATCGAGATAATGTCCATAATACTGAGCCGAGACATTTCGCTTGGGGCCTGTGGGTTTTGGCATTAGTTTCTCTAATCTCTTTTCTCTCTTCATCATATTTATTTCCAGCTGTGTTGGAACTTTCCTGTGAATTAAAAAAATATATATTTAATTAAATTTAATGGAAAAGTTATAAGAATAGTATATATATAATAGGGAGGTGAAGAATCTTTTTTGTGTGCATTTTTAATTCCATATTTTAACAAGTTTCTATAATAGAGTTAGTTTTAGGCAGCATTTTTGTAGGTGACATAATAGAGTCAATTAATACATACTTACGTTTAGGCAGTGGATTTTTGTAGGCTACATGATAGAGTCAGTACATACTTTGTTTTAGGCAGTGGATTTTTGTAGGCTACAGACTTTTAGCTTATATAATAGAGGCAATACATACTCAGTTTTAGGTAGTGGATTTTTCTAGGCTACATGTCAGAGTCAGTACGTACTCAGTTTTAGGCAGTGGATTTTTGTAGGCTACAGATTTATAGTTTCTATAATAAATTCAATACATACTCAGTTTTAGGCAGAGGATTTTTGTAGGCTACAGATTTAGCCGTGGTGATCTGTCTCTCTACATTAGCTGGTGGATGTAGTCGCTCCCACTCCGCTTTCTTGTGTTTTTGGAAACATGTTTTACAGGGTACCTCATTGTTCACTACAGTCAAAAATCAACAGAAAAATTCAAGAAGTCTATGGTTATGATATTTTTTCATCATAAAGTCAAAGAAGCAAAATAAAGGTTATAATAATTAGTGATGACCCTTTATTTTCTTTATGCAAATGTTATTATACAAACTATAAGAAATGAATAATAAAAGCTTGTTGCAAATCAGGGTTAAGCATTATTTCAAAAAAATTCTCTTAAAGTTTGACCACTTACATGCTTTCTGCATCAGTATTGGATGGCCCGCCCTTTTGGCTGAGTCTAGTGGAGTATCCCCCTTAATGTTCTGATTTTCAATGTCCCCTTCATGATAGAGATAACAACTGAGACATTCTGGAAATCCTCCCTCAGAGGCATAATGTCCAGGGGTGTTCCCAAAATCTGAAAAAAAAGTTACAAAAATCATTTTTTTGGAACCTTATATTTGTTGTTCACTTTCCAAATAATTCAATATCTAAAGAAGAATTGATTGTTTCATATAAATATTCTCAACATTGATAAAAATAAGCAAATAAATCAAAGAATACTCACAATCTTGTTTGTTGGGATCTGCTCCTTTTTCAAACAGCCAGTGTAACACATTGATGGCTCCATGGAGTGCAGCCTGCAAAAATTATATTTAGAAAAATTGTTGAGCAATAAGTATCATGTACAACTGGCTTTTGCTTTTAAAGAAAGATAATTAAGAATAAGTAGTTGTTTTAAATACAATCCTCTTACTTCCTTGATATTCTTTTATACAATGTATCTGATTGGTTGACTTAGATGGGGTCAATGTCAATACACGACCTTGACCTACCACATGTGATGGGGATTTTCCATCAGCCTGAGTGGCCTCTATGTTGGAGCCCTGCTTGACCAGGAAGCGTAAACAATCCAGTTTGTCATGCCTGGCGGCGTGATGGGAGGCCAGGTAGCCATTATTGTCAGTCAGTGTGATGTCACAGTCCCTCTGTACCAGCAGGATCACAGACTCCAGGGCTGTACAAGTAGAGAGGGTAATATAGAGAAAATCAAAGTATCAATACAGTTAACATTACTCTTATTATATCCAGTATAAAACCTTAAGAATAATAACTATATAGTTACTGTAGAAGTACTTTTTTCTACCTGGTATTAATTTACGCTATGTATGCGGTCACAAATTTTCCGCAGAAATTTGTCCAAGCGTACTTAATATAAATGTTCGGCAAATAATGACAGTCTAAGAAATACGTGTAATTTTCTACCCATGGATTAAACAGAAATTGAGATTCCGCGGAATTATGACCCCGTGGAAAAAAGTACATCAAGAGTATCTGTAAATCAGCTTTTCTTCACTTTGAATAATCTATGGCAAATGCAGGAAAATCTTGAAAGTCTATCATATTTTTTTTTCTTTCATGATCAGAGATTCAAACTTACCTCCATATTGTGCAGCGTAATGTACAGGTGTTTTCCCCATCTCACAGCGACAGTCCAAGTCTATTCCCTGGTCAAACAGAAACTGTAGAATCTTTTTATGGTTTCTCATGGCTGCAAAATGGGCCACCTGTCTACCTCTGTGGTCCTCAGCTATTAGATTTGCTCCTAAAATGACATAATAATTAGATGCAGATACAAATGTATAACTGAGTCCTGTGAAATGGAAGTTATTCCAGACAAATGGTAACGTCTTCAGTCTACTTAATTTTTTCCCTTTATCACCTCAGTAACAGTCTAACGGATATTTTAAAGTACATTCAGCTGGTGTAAAAGGACTTGAATTAGCAAGTTATCAATTTTAACATCTCTTTCAAAAAAAAAAAAAAAAAATGAACACCTACAGACACAATATTGTTAATACTTTTTACTTTTCTTCAAGGTTTATAATCAATCTGTTTCATTTCTGAGTCACACCTAAGCATTGAAATATCATGATGTTTGTAGGAGACAACGGTTATTTACAAAATACTACAGATACCTTTATCCTGGAGTATTTTGATGCAGCCCAGCTCCCCATTGAAGGCGGCCACGTGGGCGGGGGTCTGACCGTCCCTGTCTCTTATATTGACCTCCGGGGTATTCTGTAGCAGCAGTCGCAGGCATTCCTTGTGTCCCCCTACACACACCTCATGTAGGGGTGTGCGCCCTGTCTTTGTCTTAGATATTGGGCTGTGATTTCGCTATAAAAAAGTATGCCACTAGATAAATTTAATTTTAAAGATGTTCAATTAGACACTATAATATTTAAAATTAAAAATATTTGTATAAAACTAAACACAATTAAATATTACAATAATAACTCTTTAGTACCTTTAATAATTTCTCTACCATGGAGATCTGGCCATATGTACAGGCAATGTGCAGAGGAGTTTTTCCAAATGAGTCCACATCTTTTTCTGATGGCAACTCTTCATTTTCTTTACCTATTTCGTATAAAATAAAATCAATTGCAGGTAAGACTTTCATACCTATAAAGATTGTAAGGTAGTGATTTACATGTGCTTTGCTTTTGTTAAGAGTGTGCAGTCATCATTTTTGTCTTATTCAATTTCTCCCTAATAAAATATCTGTTGAAGTCTATACAGTGTAGACTATAAAGTCTATTTTTGCCTATATGCCCTAGCTATCCTACCAAACATAAATAAACCAATAAAAAATCAACAAAATATAGTCATACTGACTTGAAACAAATATTCTACTGTGATTACCTAGACTTAAATTATTACATGAAATATCTGTTATATATGATTACGATTTTCGTGAAATTTTACTATTTCATTGTGGTTGTCTGGTTGTTATGCAGTACACCTACAGGTGCACGATCACGCAGATTTCACATATTCTAAAGAAAGAGAAAATAGTAAATAATGTATAGTCCAAACCACCTGACTTAGCACTGCGTAACGACAACCTGCTTTCACTTGTCCCGTCCATCTATGATATATTTTGACGATTTGAAGCTTTACAAACTTAGTTGTTTACATCCAAGCAGTTTCATTTTCGGCAAGTCGTGAAATTATTGTAGTGGAAAAAACGCATCCAGTAGAAGAAGTAATTCCGGATAATGTTGCCTCCTTTTCAATGAATTTGAAAAATATTATGTTCTCTCTTAGCCCTGCTAGTTGATCATTTAAATATAAATCACTTTGATTATTTCATATTTTGCCTGTCTCAAAAGACCATACTTTAAAAAAAAAAACGCGAGCGAGTCGCATGGTTTACCATGAAAAGATTAGAGCATAGACATATGATTAGAGTTATCTTTCTTTTCACTGCCATGGAAAAGGGTGGGGGGGGGCTAGACTAATAGAAAAATGCATGGTAACACAAACAGAATTATAATATACTACAAATGAGAAATTAGAATAAATACAATACAAATTGAGAAATATACAATATTAATGAACAAAAAACACACATACAACACCGACATGCCAAATCTACACTATACAATCTTCATTTTTCATCGGATAGGCCATAGACCTAAAACGAAGGGTTCGTTTTAGGTCTATGGATAGGCATAGCAGTTTAAGTATCTTTCCTCGCGAATTAATTTTGTTTATTTATTTGTTTAGTTATTTTTATTGAAACTTTATTTAAATACGAAAAACAATTCATGTGCAAATGCTTTGTTTTATTTTAGCTTTTTAATTTCGTACACTACACTGCATATATATTGGTATTTCCCGTCGATGAAAACAAAATTGGAATCCAAAGAATTTCTCCTAGAGTATTTTAAAAGGAATAATTTTATATTGTTAATTAGGACCCTACACAGAATTTACCATTGGTTCAGCCCCATCCTCGCCTCTCTTATTATGTATCAGTCGAAAACGACATATTTAAAAACAGCTTATAGCGATAAAAGAGTTACAGCTACTTTATTGATAACATATAGTGCATATTAGAATAGAAAAAATAGGAAAAAGGTGACTCAAACCCAGATTAAAAAAAAAAAATAGAAAGGGGGGTCCATACCCCAAGTACCTGTGGCTGGCACATGAAACTGAGATAAAACAAAGAATTAGGGGTTAAAAATTGAACATGTTCCATTCTAGAACTAGACTGGCATATGAAACTGAAATAAAACGAAGAACTAGGGGTGAAAAAATGGAATGTATCTCTCGAGTTGTCGCTTTCTCGCTTTGTCACTATTTGAGTCAAGATACCGATAGATCAAGAGGTCTTGTGGATTCTTATAGCAGACCTAGTTCAAATTGCAGGTCTTCGGTTCTAGCACCAAAGCATGTTGGATAATATAGAGTATGTCTTATTTCAAAACATACAAAATAAAAATCAGAATTCGTGAGAAGTAAATGGAAACTATTTCACAGTTGTATAGATTACAATTGTTGGGTTAGGATCATCCACGGAAATTGAAACCTTTAGAATCCTTATTAAGTTATTATCTAACATCCCTATTATTTTCTAAAAACAAACTCATCCGATTTCAGACTTATCCTCTGATGAAGGTATCAGGTATATTTAAAAGAAGTTAATTGATTTCAAACGCTGGTTTTGAAGGCGTAACATGAAATTCAGTCTATTGTAAAAGTTAAAATGGAGATCAAAAGTCAATTAAATGTAAATTGATATACCACCGAATACTATATACGCTAACGTCTGTATATGACAAAGGCTTTTAATTGTACTTATTTAATTCCCCAAGTACATAAATAGATTTCCAAGTTCTTGGCTTGCTTGGAGTTGATTTTTCTTAATCTTGGATAATCCCGGCGTGTCATTACGATTTCTGATAAGACAGCTTTTCTATCCAATTCTCTGCCATTCCGTGTAAGCGATACATGTAATGCGCCCTCACTTCAGACGAGAAATGCAGATAGCAGATTTTTATCAAAGTCAGTTTTTATTTTCTTTTCTGTGAATAAATATGCTCGTTTGTTTAGTGTGTGGTCGTTTGCACTTCAATTTGACGATAATTTCGAAGGCAGAATGTGTTTTAAAACACTTAACGTTACTTGAGACCGTAGCCTTGACATATTCTTTATCCGCATTACAAATTCACGTAAGAGTCTGTCGTCGTGCGTGCAATTTCAGCTAATTCAAGACAACTCAAAGTGTATCTGAGTTTATAAAAATACCAATGCATCCTAAGAATCTCTCTTTGCAACAGAATACTTTTCATTTCCAAGTTCTCTAAGATCGAATGGTTGCAGCTATGTGCGAGCATATAAAGACATGAGAATTAAAAAAATAAAATACAGCAAGAGCAGAGCGTAATCAGAGCAACCCCTACCTTAATCCCTCAAAAAATAGCACTTCGACCCCCCCCCCCCCCTTTCTCATGTAACTGTACAAAATATTTTTTGCATAACTACTGTTACGCACGCACGTACCCTTCCCGGAATCAAGTTAGCGTACTCATTCACCCACACCCAAAAGCGCGTCGCTATTATATCCTCACAAACTTTGAATTTATTGCGAGAAGATAACGAACAGACCTAAAGGCAAATGATAATTATTCTAAGTAGTGCTTCTGCATATCTCAGCTTGACTTTTATATATCGCTTTAATCCGACTTGGTCCTTACGTCGCGGGTTCGAATCCTACTGTGGGGCGAGGAAACCTGTCTTTCAGAAGATACCATATTATAAAAGAAGCCCTGTGTTGCAGCGATGCTGGTGATGCTGGCACGAAAAGGATCCCTCACTGCTCAAAGACCGTAAGTGTCGAGTTAGGACACAATTTACAGTTTCTCTACCAGAAACTAGTGGCGTCTCCATATGAGGGATAAATCCTAGAGGGACGTTAAACAACATACATGTACAATCGATCAATCAATATATCTATAAAAATTAGATTATATATTAGGTTTTCGCACTTCACTAAAACAAATGCACAATTTTGAAGTTATTTGCCCTTGACTCTTTACACTACTTTCAAAATATGATATTGATTGAACGTCATGACTCTAGTGCAAGTTTTCAGCATACCCATGTTTGAATAGATAAATTCCTAGAAGGGTTCAATGGTTATAAGCAGGACATTTTAAGGAAATTCTGCGAATGATCTGCTGGCAACCCGAGGAAAGGTCTTCTCGGTTTCCACAAAAATATAATTTTTCGTGAAAAAATCTGAATTCGTAAAGCCATTAAAATTGCCATTTGAATTGATAAGATGGATTAATAATGGAAAACCACTTGATGTATTTTACACTTTACCATGCTAATGTACTCTAAAAGTTTGTTACATTTCCCCCCCCAATTTATGCAAAAAATCCAAAAATATGCGTTTGATCTCGACCTCCTTGACTAATAGAGTCAATATTCAGACAAAATTGACTTAGAAACAAATCAATGTCTGTCGATGGTTAAATTTATGAGAACATTTGATTGACAGTCGACTTTTATAGATATAAACCAGTATTGTGAAACATATTTAAAATTATCAAACAATATTTTTGTGACAAAACTGATAAGACAAAAAACATTCTTTGCATTCAGTTCGCCTTATTTATGTGCTTCGTAACAGAGGTCAATTTGCAGGAATTGGCCTTTATTCTTCTGATATAGAATGATCGAAAGTCTGACACGATATTACAAATTAGTATTTGTTAGTTTATATTATTAGTGTTTTTAGTTTTTAAGCATTCGGTCGCCAATTTGATCAAGGTACGTAGACCTGTCATTTTCACAATCGCCGAGTCATCGAATATCATGATATGAATTCTTAATCTAAATCATAAATTTTCCTAAATAAACTCCAATAATTAATGTTTTAAATATTGATTTATCGATTTTCAGATAATTTATTGGAAAATATTGCCCCATTTTAACGTAACCTATAAAACATCATTGAAGATTCCAGACATAAGTGCACACAATTTTGCGACTTTGAGATATACATGTACGACTATGCACTAGATTCATTAAAATTCTCAAAAATCTGTACATTAAAAACGAAAACAAAATAACTCCTTAAAACCGACATATATATGTATTTTTCATGCCTGATGAATTGCCTTCCACTTAGTGCAACATGCTCGCTTTGTGTGGAATTCTTGCTACAGTCTCTGTATTTCTTGTCTCTCAAAAGCATCGTCGGAGCAGAAACAATATCAACACGGTTTGTTTTTTGTTTCTATTATGCTCAAATCATTTTTAGAATTGTTGGGATGCTTCCTCACAAATAGATAATTCATTTGTGTTGTCAGTGTTAAAAATTTCCGTACCGTATACATGTATCTGTACAGATATCTTCGGAAGTTTAAAGGTTGACATTTTACACATTTGACTCGATTGTTCAGGGTCAAGGGTTTATCTATCACGGCAATTCATCAACAATAGAACTTTTAAAGACTAATGCATTGGTCTACCCCGTGATGCTAGTCTACAGGTAGTTGATATTACAATCCACTCACCATCTATCTCTTCTCTGCCTGAATAGGTTTTGATTGATATTATTTATATAAAAAAAGAGTCTTCAATTCGATGTTTATTTTTGCTATAATGCACAATAATGGTATCATTTTCTATCAATCTTTGCTTGATCCGGGATCGGGAGGTCGCGGGTTCAAATCCAGGCCGGGACTGATCCTAAGGCAATAAAAAGTAGGGAGCAACTTTGAAGTGAAAGTTGCGGGTCCTGTTTCTCGGTAGGCGTTTGCCCTGAGCGACCAGAAAAAGATCTAACTTTGAAGCACAATCTTCTATAGTACACTGTACATGATGGCGTCTCTGTACGCGTGAAAAATTCTTGAATTGGACGTAAAACAACATACAGTCAATGAATCTTAGCCAATTAACAATGAGAACATTATATATTACGGTGTATTCAAATACCGAGTGCTAATTGAAATTGCTTAAAAGGAAAGATGAATTTGCCCCCATCTATTTTAATGCATGGTACTATGTACTCTGTATAAAATGTATTTTATTTCAAATTATCATTTTTTGAGGTTGGTCATCTTGTGGGAAGGAAGGGGGAGGGTATACAGGTAAGAAAAGCCACCATTCTCGATTTTCCCTTCTCTTTAAC